AAAAAGAAGAACAGAGCTGGGGGAATCATGCTCCCTGACTTCAGACTATACTACAAAGCTACAGTAATCAAAACAGCATGGTACTGGCACAAAAACAGACACATAGGTTAATGGAATCAAACAGAGAGTCTAGAAATAAACCTATGCACTTATGGTCAATCTACAGAAAAGGAAGCAAGAATATACAATGGAAAAAGAGTCTCTTCAATAAGTGGTGCTGGGAAAATTGTACAGCTACATGTAAAAGAATGAAATTAGAACATTTTCTCACACCACATAATAATAAACTCAAAATGGATTAGAGACCTAAATATAGGACCAGAAACCATAAAACTACTAGAAGAAAACATAGGTAGAACACTGACATAAATTGTAGCAATATTTTTTTGGCTCTGTCTCATAAGGCAAAGGAAACCAAAGTGAAAATAAATGGGACCTAATTAAACCTAAAAGCTTTTGCACAGCAAAGGAAGCCATCAACAAAATGAAAAGACAACCTGCTGACTGGGAGAAAATATTTCCAAATGATATGACTAATAAGGGGTTAACATTAAAAACATGTATAAACAGCTCATATAACACAACATCAAAAAAAAATCCCAATTAAAAACTGGGCAGAAGAGCTGAATAGACATTTTTGTAAAGAAGATATAGGTGGCCAACATGCACATGAAAAGATTGCTCAACATCTTTAATCATTAGAGAAAAGCAAATCAAAACCATGAGTTATCACCTCTTACCTGTCAGAATGGTTACCATAAAAAAACACACACACACAAATGAGAAATGTTGGCAAGGATGTAGAGAAAACAACTCATTTGGTACACTGTTGGTGGGAATGTAAATTGGTGCAGCCAGTGTAGAAAACAGTATGGAGATTTCTCAAAAAACTAAAATAACACTGCCATATGATACAGCAGTTCTACTCCTGGTATGTATCCAAAAAAAAAAACTGAAACATTAATTCTAAAATATACATGCACCCCAGTGTTCACAGCAGCATTATTTACAAGAGCCAAGATACAGAAGCAACCTAAGTGTCCTTCAACAGATGAATGGATAAAAAAGATGTGGTACATATACACAATGGAATACTTACTCAGCCATAAAAAAAATGAAATTTTGCTATTTGCAACTAAATGGATGGACCTGGAGGGTATTATGCTTAGTGAAATAAGTCAGACAGAGAAAGACAAATATTATATGATGTCACTTACATGTGGAATCTAAAAAATAAAACAAACTAGTGAATATACCAAACAAACAAACAAAAAAAGGAACAGACTCACAGATACAAAGAACAAACTAGTGGTTACCAGTGGAGAGAGGGAAGGGGAAACACAGGGGTAGGAGATTAAGAGGTACAAACTACTATGTATAAAATAAATAAGCTACAGGATATATTGTACAGCACAGGGAAATTAATCAATATCTTATACTAACTATAAATGAACTATAACCTTTAAAAATTTTGAACCACTATGTTGTACACCTGAAACTTATATAGTATTGTAAATCAACTATACCTCAATAAAAAAAGAAATAATGTTAAGAGCCAATGCTTTTGTAACTGAGCTCTATCTAATTATTAAAAAATGAATGATTGGGGGGAAGGTATAGCTCAAGTGACAGAGTGCATGCTTAGCATGCATGAGGTCCTGGGTTCAATCCCCAGTACCTCCTGTAAAAATAAATAAACCTAACTGCCTCCCCCCAAAATATAAAATAAGTAAATAATATAATAATAAGTAAATAAAATTTTTTAAAAATCAAAAAAAATTTAATTTTAAAAATTAAAAATGAATGATTAAAATAAAAACAATAAAACAAACACCTTAACTAAAAAATGGACGTAAAATCTTAACAGACACCTCACTGAAGAAGATATACAGATGGCAGATAAATATATGAAAGAAGCTCCATACCATATGTCATCAGGAAATTGGAAATTAAACAAGGAGAGAACACTATACACCTATCAGAATGACCAAAATCCAAAACATTGACAACACTAAATGCTGACGAAGATGTTGAACAGCAGGAACTCTCTCATTTATTATTATTAGAAATATAAAATTGTATAGCCACTCTGAAAGACAGTTTGGTGGTTTCTTACAAAACTAAACATATTCTTACAATACAATCCAGCAATCACATTCCTTGGTATTTACCTATAGGAGGAGAAAACTTATGTCCACATGAAAATGTGCAGACAATTATGTATAGCAGTTTTATTTGTAACTGCCAAAACCTTGGAAGCTAATAAGATGCCCCTCAGTAGGTAAATAGATAACTCAATTGTGGTGCACCTGGACAATAGAATATTACTCAGTGCTAAAAAGAAATAAGCTATTAAGCCATGAAAAGACATTTAGGAACCTTAAATTCTTATTACTCAAAGAACACAAACTGAAAAAGCTACATACTATATGATTCCAACTATATGACATTCTGGAAAAGGCAAAACTAGAGACAGAAAGATCAGTGGTATCCAGGGGTTGCCGGGCAGGGAGTGGGGGGTGGTATTAAGCATACAGGATTTTTCGGGCAGTGGAAATATTCTGTATGATACTTCATTGATGGATACAAGTAATTATATGTTTGCCCAAACCCATAGAATGTACAGCATCAAGAGTAAACCCTAAGGCAAACTATGATCTTTGGGTGACTATGATGTGTTGATACAAATTCATCAATTGTAATAAAAGTACCACTCTGGTGGGAGATGTTGAAAATGGGTAAGGTTATGCGTGTATAGACAGGGAGCATATGGGAAATCTCTGTACCTTTCTCTCAAATTTGCTATGAACCTACAAGTGCTCTGAAAAAAATTAAGTCTTTCAAAAGACATACCAAATGGAAGGAAACATTTGCAAATCATACATCTAATAAGGTTTCAATATCTTGAATATATAAAGAGCTCTTACAATTCAACATCAAACTGACAGCCCAAATAAGAAGTGGACAAAAGACCTGAATAGACATTTTCCAAAGAAGTTATACAAATGGCCAACAAGCACATGAAGATGTTCAACAGCATTATTAGAGAAATGCAAAACAAAACCACAAGGAGATACCAATTCACACCCACTAGGCTGGCCATAATCAAAAAAACAAAGTAACAAGTGTTGGTGAGGATATGGAGAAACTGGAACCTTTTGTACATTGTGGGACTGGAAAATGGTACAGCCACTCTGGGAAGCTTGGCATTTTCTCGAAAAGCTAAACATAGAATTACCATATGACCCGGCAAGTCCACTCCTAGGTATATGCCCCTATAAGAATTGAAAATAGATATTCTAAATTAATCTAAAATGACTGACAATTGCATACCCCTGGGATTACACTAAATACAATTGAACTATTCACTTTAAATGTGTGAACTGTACATCATATGAATAATGTCCCAAAATAGCTGTTAAGCGCACTTGCACACATGTAAACACACACATTTTCTCACACATACATGTGGAATGAAGTACTGATATATGCTACTCTATGAATGAACACTGTGCTAAGCAAAGGGAGCCAGTCACAAAGGATTATATTATTCCATTTACATGAAATGTCCAGAATAGGCAATTAAAGACAAAATATACATTAGTGGCTGCCCAGGGCTTGAGGGACTAGGGGATTGGGGTAATTATAGCTAAAAGTTATATGGTTTCTTTTTGAGATGACAAAAATATTCTAAAATGACTGTGGTGATGGTTCCAGAACTCTGTGTATATACTAGAAACCACTGAATTATATATTTTAAGTGTGAATTACATCTTAATAAACCTGTTTGTTCTTTAAAAAAAATTAAAAGAGATCACTAGGAGACGAGAGAATTACAACTTGGGTTGAACTAATAAGTTAAGGGAATCAACTAGGGAAGCTTACTCACACACGGAACCCTTATGCCCCAGGATTCACCTCCTCTAGTCTATGAGAGAACAGGAGTGATGGTTCACATCGAGGACCATGTGATCCACATGGGCAGCACAGGATTTCACTGGCTGAACATGCAAGACTTGTGTCTGTGTCTTCCACAGTTTACTGTGCACTTGGTGGAGAATGGCAATGTGTGTTTCTACAGGTTGAGCCCACCTTTGCCACTCCGGTTTCGTGACTGCTGCCAGCATTTCCCTCACAGAAACCCTAGTAGCTTTATATTTCCACTCCTCATTGATAATTTACTGAGGATAATGACAGTGCTGCTTCTCCTCTATGTCCCTGCTTCCAAGTAGCTAGAGATTCTCCCCCAGGAAAGATTCCACATTTTGGCTGACATGCAAAATGCCTCCAGTGTCCTGATGTAACATCTGGCAGGCAATGAACCAACCTTCTTCAGGGCTAAGGGCCAGCCAGAGAATTGCCCTGTCAGCCATGCGCAACAGTTTCAGCTACAACAGGTGTAAAGAAAACGAAGTAAGGAACAGCAGCAATACTATCAAATGCTACCTAGCCATAGCGCAGTAAGAGGGGAAATGACTATGTAGATTCTTCCAAGTCTCTTTTCCAATTGTGTATTTTGAAAAGAAAAGGAGAAAAACAAAGAAACAAATTCTTCCCTACTTTATTCTGCAGGAAATGAGGATGACTCATTCTTCATGAGTTTCACTCCATCTTAACATTTCTCCCATCATTCTCGTCTCCAATTTCTTTTACAGCAGGCAATCTACATCTCTAAAACCGCATTAAAAATCTAAAGCCCTACAGTTGTATTTTAATCAATTTATTATCTTTCTGTACTAGTGTCAGACTTTGGCTGCTTACCAAATCCCTCCTCCACCCAATCACATGCAATTAACTTTCTACAGTGTATCACCCAAATTCTCTGAGTGAAATCATTCAATATATAAAGAATAGTACTTTGTATAGTGAGATGAAGGCAAGCAATACAGTTGGTCTTATTTTGTTTTTGGAGAAAACGGTATTTTCTGAAAGTCACCGCCTGGTGGTATATGTGGAATGTCACTCTGAATTGTCACAAGATATATTTCCCCTGCACTCACCTTCCTGTTATCCTCAAATTATATTTGGCACCAATCAGCTACTCCATTCATCTCTAGATTTTCTTTCTCAGAGCAGCTACAGAATGAGGATTCCATTCACAGGCATGGATGAAGGCAGCATCAGCAGAAACTAGGAAAGGCAATGTAAAATAGTCAATCTCTACAGAGAGATCAGACGCTGCTTGAGATTATGGGCCCCAAGTGGTCAACCATAAATAAAGGTTCCAAGCTCTGAGATTCAGAAACAGCAATCTCCTTGAGGGACCACTCAGCTGTGGACTGAGTTGGGAGTTAATTTCCTGTAATCACAGCCAAGGGACTAAAGAAGGCTGTGAAGCAACCTTAGATGTAAGAAGTCATCCCCTTCTCATTCAAATTTATAGATGACTATACTCTAGACCAATTAGAGTCTTCATCTTCCTTCTCATTATTAATAAGCAGATACTTAGTACTATATTGACTGGGGCTCTTACATACATGTTCTTTAGGGAGAAAACAACATTAATACAAATATTTAAAAGATACATAGAAACACAACCAAATGTCGAATACTTTGAGTACTCACACCAAACACATATCAAGGGTCAGTGCACTCTAGGGAATAACTGAACAGTAGTGTTCAAAAGACAGTACATAAGGAGGTATTATCATTCCTTAAATTACTCCAGGTGGAGTTTAAAAAGTTCTTTGAATGACAGTCTCATGAAGGAAAATATGAAAAAACATGTCAGGCATATGGGAGTCATGGGAGAAGGCTCACAGGTATTAAAAAATGTGGCAATCTAATACGTGGTGCTGACATTCAGGAGGAAGATTTTAGACTTCATCCACAGTGAAACAGGAAGGGCCTTTAAGAGGAGAATCACATGATCAAAAGGAAGACAATCTCTCCTTACACTTTAAAGAGGTCACCTAACAAGGGGACATTAAATTTGTTAGGAAGGTAATAAATAATTTTTATTTGTTAACAAAAAGAGATTTGGAGTTCACTGCACTTTAATATGAATATATCACATTTGAACAACATAATTTTCTCATGGCTTTGAAGAAAAACACTGATAAAGACTCAAGAGTGGACTGAACCTGAATAGGGGTCTGGGGAAGAGGTGGTTACTTCAAGCCCATGGTCCCTAGAATCGTCACCTGTATAGAGACCCCCTAGTGCTTCTCCAGTACAGGGCAATGATGTCACTCATAGCTTCTGTGTTGTGATATCAAAGGAGAACATATACTGGGTCGCATAGAAATTATTCCTAGGGAAAGAAATATAACAAGAGGGAAGCTGAATAACACAGGCACCAAATTTAAAAAGTGAGAACTCACAGCTGTTCATGACATTATAGAAGCTAGTTCAGACAAGTAAAGAACTGTAACTGATAACAATAGCTAACCTGTGAATGCTCACTATGTACCAGGCACTGTGCAAGAGCATGTGTTCTAAATCATTTAATTATCACCCCAACAACCTCATGATGTTACTATATTCATACCACAGATCAGGAAATTGAGGTTCACAGACACACAGGTAGAAAGTGACAGAGCTGGCATTTGAACCAAAGGTATCTCTTAGTTTGTGCTCTTAAATTACCTCCAAATGTCTAGTAAACTATCATTTGAGAGAGAATTGGATTATGACCATTATAGCTTTCCCTTTTTTCTTTTGCTCCTGTTAACCATCTTCTACACACACATATCCCTCCAAATGAGTTTCCATTCATTCTACCACAGCCATCTAGATCTCTCATATTCTGAAGACATTTTGATTTACTAAGAGGAACCAGGGCTCCTTGGAGAAATGGGTAATTCTCCAAGGGCTGTGGCAGGGAATATACAAAATGAGCAACCTATAGTGCCAGAAAGTAAGGAAGTGCTCAAAAAACAAAACAGTGGGGGCATGCCAAAGGAACATAGGAACCAATGTGAAAGGGCTTCCAATGAACAAAGCTGGAATAATTTGAGAAACAAAATAAATAATTCTTCCTTATAGAGGAATGCTAAATAATTTATGTAGATTCTCACCCTCCAGTAAGTGGAGCTTAATCTTCTCCAATCCTTCTTAAAAGTGGGCTGGATTTAGTGACCTCCTTCCAAAGAATGGAGCTTAGAAAGTGGGGAATATAACTTGAAGGAGGAGAAACCTGGCAAAGGTTGGCCAGCTGATCAAAACCTTGATATGATATGATATGATATGATGAGAATAGTATTTCACCTGTGTGGTCTTTCTCCCAAACACCCATTACCCCCCCAGTCTAATCATAAGTAAACATCATACAAATCCCAACTGAGGCACAGTCTACAAAATACCTGAGTAATACTCCTCAATAATTTCAAGATCATCTAAGCAAAGAAATTCTGAGAAACTGTCACAGTCAACAGGAACTTAAGGAGACACCAGAGCAATGTGATGTGGCATCCTGGACTGGATCCTAGAACAGAAAAAGACATTAAGTAAAAACTAAGGAAATAAAGTATAGACTTTAGTTAATCAGTATTGGTTCATTAATTATAGCAAATGTACCATACTAACCTAACATGCTGATAAAAGGGGTAACTGTGTGCAGGGCAGAGAGTGGGTGAATATGGGAACTCTCTGCACTATTTTTGCAACTTTTGGTAAATCTAAAATTATTCTAAAATACAAAATTTATTTTTTAAAAAATTCACAAAACCTGGAAGAAGAAATAGAATCAAAGCCTAGCTTTTATCCTCATTAACTGGGTAACCCTGTACAAGTCACTGGTATCCTTGTTTATAAAATAGATAGGGTACTAGCTTTTTAGTGACATTTGCAAGTTGGCAAACTAGGAAGCTCCAGGCCCTCCTTTCCCCATCCACATTAACATTTAAAAAACCAACTAGAGATTGGCTAAAATAACTTTACAGGAGGTCTGGAAAACAGTCTTTAACAACCAAGTGGAAGTTTAATCAAGAAAAAGCCACATAGGAAATGGTAGGAAATTCCATGGCATTTTTACTTATTTTAACCCCTCTTTCCCCTGTAGTGCAGTGAAGCACAGTCTGGGGAAAGCAGTGGCCCAGCTGTCAGTTCCCTCCCTCTAACTGGAGAGAGGAAGGCAGACCTTTTTTGCAGTGTTCTAATCTGCCTAGGACTACCTGAGGTATTAGTCTCCCAGAGTTCAGGAAGAGAAAAGCAGTATAGCTCGGATCTCGGGGTAGGAAAAGCCACGGGAAATGGTGGACACTGCTTGAGAAAGCTGCGGAGGGACTACAGTCTCACAACATCTGAGGCAAGAGATTAGAGGCAGAGGAACACAGTAGAATATCAATGGCCCCCCGAAGAAGCAGTGGTGGGAGTCTTTGGGAAATTAAGACACTTAAACCTGATGTGTATTTAAGGGAATTGAAAAAAGCACACACAGTGGCCCAGACAAGATGTATGCCTAGAAAAGGTCCAGGAAGACCTTTAAACCTTTACATGAGGCTGATCTCAAGGCTCAGAGCAAGCTGTCCTAACTCGTAAATGTCTTCCCCAGGACAGAGCCTATCTGCAAAGCATTTTTCAAATGCCCAACTTTCAATCAAAAAAACCACAAAGCATACAAAGAAACAGGAAAATATGCCACATCAAAGGAAGAAAATAAAGTGGTAGAGAATGTTTCTGAAAAAACACTAGGCAATGACTAAAACAATGATCTTGAATATGCTCAAAGAGCTGAAATAAAACACAAAGAACCAAAGGAATGAGGAAAAGAATACGTTTTTTAAATGAGGACATCAACAAAGAGATAAAAATTATAAAAAGGAACCAAAAAGAAATTCTAGGGCTGAAAATATAGTAACTCGATTGGAATATTCACTAGTGGGATTCAACAACAGTTTGAAATAGGAAGAAAGAATCAGTGAAGTTGAAGATATCATTTGAAATTCTTGGGTCTAAGAAGCAAAACAGAAAAAGAGGATAAAGAAAAGTGGGCAGAGATTCAGAGACTTATGGCGTACCATCAAGCAACAAATGCATTATCAGAGTTCCAGGAGGTTAGAAGAAAGAAAGGAGCAGAGAGGTTATCTAAAGAAATAATGGCCAAAAACTTCCCAAATTTGAGAAAAAACATGGATTATTCACAAGTCCAAGAATCTCAATGAACTCTAAGTATGATAAACCCAAAGAGGCTTACACAAGGATACATTATAATCAAACTGTCAACAACCAAAGTGAGAATCTAGAAAGGAGCAAGAAAAAAAAAGTGACTTATGTACAACGGATCCTCAAAAAGATGATCAGCAAATTTCTCAGTGGAAACCTCAGAGACCAGAAGTGAGATAATATATTTATAGGGCTGAAAGAACAAATGTCAACTGAGAATTCTGTATCTGGCAAAACCGTCCTTCAGAAATGAAGGAGAAATTCAGACATTCTCAGACAAACAATATTCAGCATCAAAAAGGAAGTTTTAGCCATGGAAATTAGCCAAGAAAATTAAATAAAAGGCATCCAAATTGGAAAGGAAGAAGTAAAAGTACCTCTGTTTGCAGATGAGATGATCTCATATGTAGGACACACTAAAAATTCCTCCCCAAACAAAAAATAACTCATTAGAATTAATTCAGCAAATTTGCAGGGTACAAAATCAACATAAAAAACCAGCTGTATTTCCATACACTAACAACAAACAATCTGTAAAGGATATTAAGAAAGTAATTCCATTTATCATAGCATCAAATAGAGTCAGTAAAGGCAACAAAAACGAAAATAAACAAGTGAGACTCCATCAAACCAAAAAGCTTCTGTACAGCAAAGGAAGTCATCAACAAAATAAAAAGGCAACCTACTACATGGGAAAAAATATCTATAAATCATATATCTGGTAAGGAGTTAATATCCAAAATACACAAAGAATTCCTAACATCTAATAGCGAAATGGCAAACAGTCCAATTAAAAAATAGGCAGAGGCTCTGAATAGCCTTTTTTCCAAAGAAGACACACACATGATCAACAGGTACATGAAAAGGTATTCAACATCACTAGTCTTCTGGAAAATGCAAATCAAAACCACAAGGAGGTATCACCTCACATCTGTCAGAATGGCTATTACCAAAAAGGCAAGAGGAGGGTATAGCTCAGTGGTAGAGTACAAGCTTAGAATGTGTGAGGTCTTGAGTTCATCCCCAGTACCTCCATTAAACAAACAAACAAACAAACCTAGTTACCTCCCCTGCCAAAAAAACAAACAAACAAAAAGACAAGAGATAATAAGTGCTGGTGAGGGTGTGGAGAAAGGGAACTCTTGTGGACTGCTGGTGGGAATATAAACTGGTATAGCCACTGTGGAAAATAGTATGGAGGTTCCTCAAAAAAATTAAAAATAGAACTACCACACAATCCAGCAACTCTACTTTTGGGTATTTATCTGCAGGAAACAAAAACACTAACTTGAAAAGATATATATACCCCAACATTCACTGCAGTGTTATTTATAATAGTCAAGACATGGAAGCAACCTAAGTGTCCATGGATGGACGAATGGATAAAGAAAATGTAGTATACAAATACACCGGAATATTATTCAGTCATTAAAAAGCAGGAAATATTGCCATTTGTGACAACATGGATAGACCTTGAGGGCACTATGCTAATGAAGTAAGTCAGAGAAATACTGTATCAGCTCTTATATATGGAGTCTAAAACAAACAAACAAACGAAAAACCACCCATAGAACAGATTGGTAGTTGCCAGAGGTGGGGTCTGGGGGCAGTGGGTGAAAAGGGTGAAGGTGGTCAAAAGACACAAACTTTCATTTATAAAATAAATAAGACCTGGGGATGTAACGTGCAGCATTGTGAATATAGTTAGTAATACTACACTGTGTACTTGAAAGTTGCTAACAGAGTAGATTTTAAAAGTTTTCATCACAAGAAAAAAAGTTGTAATTATGTGTGGTGATGGATGTTAACTAGACTTATTGTGGTGATCATTTTGCAGTACAAACAAATATTGAATCATTATGTTGAACACCTGAAACTAATATAAAGTTATACATCATGTACAATTGTGTAGTATATACACACAATGGAATATTATTCAGCCTTAAAAAGGAAGAAAATTCTGACACATGGTACAACATAAATGAATCTTCAAGGCACTATGCTAAGTGAAATAAACCAGTCATAAAAAGAAAAAGCGTTATGACTCCACTTATATGAGGTACCTTGAACAGTCAAATTCATAGAGACAGAAAGTAGAATGGTGGTTGCCAGGGGCTGGGGGGAGGGGAGAATGGGAAATTAGTGTTTGATCGGTATGGTGTTTCAGTTTGGGAAAACAGTTATCTCTGGAGATGGATAGTGACAGTGGTTGCACAATGTGAATATTCTTAATGCCACTGAACTATACACTTAAAATGGTTAAAATGGTAAATTTTATGTTCTGTATACTTTACCACAATAAAAAATAGATAGCATACTAAAACTTTCTCCCAGGTTTTGTGAGAATCAAGTGAGATCTATGCAAAAAAAACTTTGTAATCTATACGGCCCTTCACAAACATTAGCTTTTTTTAATCATCACCCTGTTTACCCCAACCTGATACCATTATCTACATGCTAAACCCAGCCATACTCACCTAGCAGCATACTGTTGGAAGTTTAAGTGCTGTCCAGTGACACCCATCTTCATTTTGCTAAGCTCTGGATTCCATATGTCCAGGCAATGGTCTCCCAGAGTTCTGGTTCTGAAACAAAACAAGCACCAAAATAGACATGTTTTAGACAAGCCTGGTGGATTCTAGAGAAAAAACTCAAAAGACTTCCTCCTCTTACTCTTTCCCCAATGCTTGGCTTGGAAGCAGTCCTCATTCAGCAACAAGAGGTCAGCAAGCCACTGCCAAGAACAAGGGAAATCTTCCTTCAGTTCAGCTGACCACCTAACTCCCTGGTCTGCTACCAAGCAACATATCTCATAAAACAGCCTTTGAGCAGGTGAACAGTCCTGAACCTCCTTTGAAGGAACAGGATTCTGGGAGAAGAATACAGGAAATATATTCAGTAAGAATGAATTGAGAACAGAAGTAGTTAGATAAAAAATGAAAATACTAAAATTGAAAGGCCAGAATAACCAGCTTTGATAGATTAGACATCAGTCTGCACAGCAGCCTCAGAGCTGAACCCTCAAATATTCTCAGACAGTATAAATATTGGTACAGAACCAGTGTGGTAACACAGTAGTGCAAAACCCAGGAATGATGTTTCTTTCTGGAAAGCAAGCCAGTTGGTACCTACATCCAGATGCTCTTTAAGTTTCCTTATCTCTTACAGACACTGCTCACTGAGGATTTCTCCTAACTTGGGTCAATGCTACAGTGCTATTTGGAATCTTTTTCATGCAATGATGTCTATCCAGAAGTTGCTGCCTTTCCAGATACTCTCTGGAGGGAATATCCTAATGAGGGATTTCATTCCATGACTCTCTGAGGAACTTTAAACATGAAGTAGCACCTACCTGGGCCTTGGAAGTTTGACCTATGGCCAGGAGAAAGAACCCAAGTCTCTGTGCCCTCACAATCTTGAATGTCTTTGCTTGCTTCACTCGTACCCTATCCAATATTCCTAGTGTCATCAATAAGACTGGATAAGAACTCAGGACTTTTTAACAAAACTTTCTGCCAATGCCCCACAAATCTTGCCTATGGTTTCCCAAATTCTTTGATTCTCTACTGTGTACCCTTTCTCTTCTGCTCAGAACCCCCAAATTACACTTATCCTATATATAGTCCCATCTGTGTAGAAATGCATTTTTCTGAGTTCTTCCCCTACCTGTTCATACTGTACCTATATTGTTCTGTTAACTGAAGTTCAATCATAATACCTACAACAGCATCAGATGTCCCACCTTCTGTCTTCATTTTGCTATAACCCGAGGCAAAAGAAATGTGTCACTCTGGGAGCGTGGCAATGAAGGGAGAAGATCCTCACGGACAACAGCACTGAAGCAGGGTCACTAGCACAAGGCCTGTAAGAGAAACCCAAATACAAAAAAGCAAAAGCTTAGCTAATATTCCTTGTACAACCCTATGCTTTTACAACCAGCAGGAGTGGCTGATGAAGTGATATAACCAACAGTCCACAAATGGCTGATGGCAGAACAAACCCTGGCTAAGTGCTTCAATCTATTCTTTGGTGGTTCGTCATCACGAGCCATTGATCCACCATCACCAGGTCCTACGCTCTAAGTTCTTTTCCAAAACTGGTTTAAAAAAAATTGAGCCATTCTAAATTCTCTCAGTTATACTGGGAGGCAGTAGATACAGCAGTTAAGCATCCAGTCTCTGGAGCCAAAACAACCTGAGTTCAAGTCCTGCCTTAGCTGCCTGTCGTGTACCACACAGGTCACTGCTGTTTTCGGTTCTGATGTTTTCTGCTACCCTGCCAGCCAACGCCCTCCGCTGCCCCGCCCCCTCACCACCGCCAAGCACATGGAGCCCAGAGCCTACAAGGGAGCTGACAGGGGCCTGTTCGGCGTTTACCTCCCCATCTCCTCAGCTATGTCGGCGCCTTGACGTTGAGCGCCCCTCTCTAGGATGCCGCGACTCTCTTTCCTCATCTCACTCCGTACGCTCACAGCTTTTGCAAAGGGATAAAACGCAAGCCGCTGGAGCGGGGCCAAGCACTTCCCTCCCCTAACGGGGCGGAAATAAAACGAAACTGCCACGCTTATTTATCCAATGACTTCCCTGTTACCATAGTAAAACCGCCGCCGCCATAGTTATTGCGGTGGACGGTTACTCGCGTTTAGCCAGAAAAAAAAAGCCTTCAAACTAGCCGAGCTCCACCTCGGAACGGAGTTACTCTCAGGCAGGAGCCCAGCCGGAACGGGGCTCACGCCCTCGCGGACGTAATACGCGCCGGCTGCTGACGGAATGACGCCGGAGAAGGGGCCTGCGTCCGTCTGGCCCAGGCGCTTCCAGCTCACGCGCCGTACGGAAGGGGGCTCTGGCGCACCGGAAGCCGCCAGAAGAGAACGATGGCGGGTTTGACTGTGAGAGACCCTGCGGTGGATCGTTCTCTACGTTCGGTGTTCGGTGAGAGGAATTCGGTGAAGCCAAGCATCGGGGAGGGACAGAAAAAAGACAGGGAGCAGCGGGGAATGCCCCCCTACACTTCACGAATCGCCGCGGGAGCCGGTGATGGGTCGGGCTTGCAGCTCGACCTGCCTATCCTGCGGGGCGGCCAGCCTGGTGGACTTGTGGGCAAAGTGATGCTCCGCTTCGTCCGAGGTCTCGCCCCCTTTCCACGACGTGACTGAGGAAGTTAAACTAGTGTTCAGCTTCTATGCGTTTCTCCTTTCATGAGCTTCAATTATTATCTAGAAGCGAGGACTCATGGCAAATGTCCCATAGTATTTCTCACCCCCTGTCCCAGAATATAGGTTAGGTGATGAGGGTATAGAGCCTTGTGTCCAATTCCCTGCCCTCTCATAGAGACTTTCATCCTCTGCTTTTTACCCGTTACGTTTTATTTCGTCGTTAGTGGTAGCGGCTACCTGGCGTCTTAAGGTGGATTGTAAATGAATGAATGAATGAGCGATTAAGACGACGTCAAAGAAATTTTAAAGAGGATTGAATCGATTCTGAGTAATCTTTTCAGCCGAAATAAGTTTTTTTTTTTAAGTATGTGTGGTGATTTTAAAGCACCTTCTAGAAGGGACATGACAAAACAATTAAGAATAATTTTTAAACATCCTCCACTACATTCATGGTCATTCTCTTTGAGTGTGTGTATATGTGGAAATACGGACGTATGAGGTGGTTTTTAAAATTATAATATTGACATTTTTAGTAATTGATAAGACTTGCAGACCTTCGGGTGAATACCAGTGCCTAAATATTTATTTTCAACATAATTAAGGACAATCTAACACATGTCAGATCCATCTGAGAACTAATACTTAGAAGTGCCTACACCTTTTTTGTTTAATCTCAGCGGTTTATTTCTCTTGTAATTAACGTCAGCAGACACGATTGAAATCTTGTCTAACAGAGTACCGTGGAACCAGGACTGGATGAACACTGTATTAGAACCAGTCATTACATTTTCAGTGATATATGTAGATACTTTCTCACTAAAGATCTAGATTACAAACTCAGAATTTTGGTTTGTTATCTATTTTCTTATTTAGTGGGGAACATCCCATATGAGGCTACTGAAGAGCAATTAAAGGACATCTTTTCTGAGGTTGGACCTGTTGTTAGTTTCAGGTGAGATTCCCTTTTATTACTTGGTGGAAGTTCCTTGAAAAATCACCATAAATCTGGCCCTTAGTTATAAAAGGTTTTTGCTGGTGACTTCTCACACACATTCTTTTTTCTTTCTTTGTTTATACCAGCTTTATTGAGATGTATTTCACATACCGTGCAATTCACATTAATTTTTACTAAAAGATAAATACTTTTTCATTTAAAAAGATGTGTAAAAAATATTCCAGTGAGACGGAAAGATAAGGTTATTTGTCTTAACAGTGTAACAAATTTAGAATGTGGCAATGTCGGCGGCAACCCTGTGTGTATGTAACATTTGTGCCTGATACTTAGTTTTGCTCTCTAGGTTGGTATATGATAGGGAGACAGGAAAGCCAAAGGGTTATGGCTTCTGTGAATACCAAGACCAGGAGACAGCACTTAGTGCCATGCGAAACCTAAATGGACGTGAATTCAGTGGGAGAGCACTTCGAGTGGACAATGCTGCCAGTGAAAAGAACAAAGAAGAGCTGAAGAGTGAGTATAAACCCAAGCTGTATGCAACATGAATTAGTTAAGATGTAACAATGAAGATTTCCACTTCTGAGACCTTTAGCATCTGCTAAAATGCTTATTAGCCATACAGCTTCTTTCTTTGACCCACGTGAGGTACCTACACTAGGAAAGTGTTTATCTTAGAAAAATAAGGTAAAGTTGACTTAAGTCCACCTGTTGCCAAGGAGCTGATTGCCAGTTGAAGATGAATTACAGGCTCACCAAGCCATTAGCAGTGCTAACTATGTCTGTCATTAGTGTTTGCCGTTCCTGTGATTATGTTGCCAGATGTATAACTGGTGGGAATACCAAGGCATTCTCGTGGCTTTTTTCATAAGGTAATAAATAGATCCAGGAATTCCATTTTGAAATTAGAAAAATTTTTTAAATAAAACCTTTTGCTTCTTGGGGGAAGGGTATAGTTCAAGTGGTAGAGCACATGCTTAGCAAACAGAGGTCCTGAGTTCAATCCCCAGTACCTCCTCTAAAAAGTAAAATAAACAAGCCTAATTACTTCCGGCCACCAAAAACATGGTTTAAAAAAAGTCTTTTGCTTCTGAAATGACTTATGAAAGGAAATAGATATGCCTAGTCCGTAATTTAGGTTAACATCATTCACCTGTGTGATCCTGGGTCAAGCTTTCCTCTAAGAGCAGAAAATACACTCTAATCTTCCTCCACAGAAATAAGAGACTCGCAAATCACTTATTTCTCAGCTCCAGAAAATTTAAAGTTATCAACAGGCCCTTATAGCAAACCTGGGAGAGTAGATACTTGAAATGATTTAGCTCTTTATTTTGCCTCCTTAACATTTTGGTACTTTCTTCCCCATTAGGCCTTGGCACTGGTGCCCCTGTCATCGAGTCACCTTATGGAGAGACCATCAGTCCTGAGGATGCCCCTGAGTCCATTAGCAAAGCAGTTGCCAGTCTTCCACCAGAGCAGATGTTTGAGTTGATGAAACAAATGAAGGTGGGAGGAGGCATTAGGTTATGGATAAATGAAATCACATCAGATTTTCAGAGTTCGTTGATCAGTTAATGGAAATGATTCCCTGAGCTCAGATAGAATATGTGCCTCTTGACCAACATTTCTGGCACCTTGAGTATCCATATATGCACAGTGTATTTTACATTTCGTGCAAAGAGCTTTCCATTTTCTATACACAAACACACCTATACAATCTGGCTGGGGTTTTATGGCCCATAGATACCAAATGTAGATGTTAAAATGTGGCTTTTTTCCTAAATTATGATGGTATTATGGTATTTGAAATGCCTCTTCCTTCTCTTGCCTACCGTGACTAAGATTTTATTGCTACATGAAAACTGAGAATAGCTTTAAAAGCCTCTTGAATAATACGTTTCTCAGATGGGAATGGCTCTAAATCACTATCAATTTCTAAATAATAAGTACTGAACCTAATGATGAACCTTTTTGTCTTCTCAGCTCTGTGTCCAGAATAGTCCCCAGGAAGCACGGAACATGTTGCTTCAGAACCCTCAACTGGCTTATGCTTTGCTACAAGCACAAGTAGTGATGAGAATTGTGGATCCAGAAATTGCCTTGGTGAGTGCTTCTGGTTCTTGTATGGAAATGCTGGGGTATACCTTGAGTAGGGTAGAAACAGACAACGTATAGATTCGTCTTTTCACTTTTTAGAAAATTCTACATCGCCAGACAAATATCCCAACGCTGATTGCAGGCAACCCTCAGACAGTCCACAGCACCGGACCTGGCTCGGGATCCAATGTGTCAATGAACCAGCAGAATCCTCAGGCCCCTCAGGCCCAGTCTTTGGTAGGACTTTATTATGCCTTAATATTTTTTTAATGTGTCTTAGAATGTTATTGTCATTTTAGGAGGATATATTGAAAGAAGGATGGTCAGAAGCCAGAGATGATAATTTCAATTTCCAGGCATAAAAGCAGTTAACAAGTTTGCAAAGTACATGACATCTGAATGAATACAGGTTCAATGCCACGTTTGTAAAACAAAGATCCTTCCTTTATGCCCTTTTTTATAAGCTGATTTTATGTGTATGTGCATGCATGGCACTGTGGTTGACACTTTTGTTATTCCATATATATTATCTCATTTAATACTTATAGCAGTTTTATGAGGTTGGCACTCTTTATTCCATTCTTACCGATGAAAAAAGTAAAGCTCATTTTCCAAGTATGACACAAAACCCTGAAGACATGAAAAATTGGTATATATGAAAACTGAAAATTTTCTGTATAGAGAAAAAGAAAGAAATACCAAAGACATGACAAATTGGGGAAAAGTATTTGCCACACACATGATGGACAAATGGGCAATAGACTGATGATTTAAGAGCCCTTTAGTTATGTTCAAGAATGTTTATTGCCACGTTGTAGTGGTGAAAAATTGGCAACATCCTAAATGTACAACAGTGGAAAATGGAGAAAATGTGGTATATTTATCCAATGAAATACAGCAATTAAATAAACTACATGTGTCACTGTGAATGACTTTCAAAAATATAATTCCATATAGTGGTTAAGATGAACTAGGATACATGGTATCAACACAGATAACTCAAAAACATAATGCCATACAGAAGTGAAAATAGATGAATGTGAAAGTATTCCAAAATACAGGATATATGTGTTGTACATACCTCCAAAAACATGTTGAATGAGTTGCAAAGTGTATGTTCAGTATGTAATGATTTACATACAAATTCAAAACGTCTCTTAGAGTTCTTAAGTGATTGTCTAAGAAGGGGATACAGGATGCAATTGGGAAAGACCATACAGAAGATTTCAATTGTATATATAATTTATTTTCTAAGCTGTGTGCTTATTTTATTCTCTATCCAATTTATATATCTGGAATTTTTCATAAAAAACAAAGACCTCCTATAAATTAGTAAGCAAATTACCAAAAACCCAGTAGAAAACTATGCAATGGACATAAACAGTTCATAGAAGTAGAAATACAAATATATATTAAATATATGAAAAATGTTCAACCTCAAAATAAGATAAATGTGGACAAGTACAATAAGCTACTATTTTCACCTGTTAGATTGGCAGAGGTAGACAACTTGAATAGCTCATACAAAGGTTTAATTTAAGGTAGGGGTCAGCAAACATCTTCCAAATGGCCAGACAGTATTTTTTGGCTTTGCAGGCCATAGGATCTGTCTAAACTACTCAATTCTGCCATTGGAATGTGAAGTGAGCCACAGACAATACATAAACAATTGTGCATCATTGTGTGTCAATTAAACTTTTATTTATGAAGCCATTCAATGAGCCAGATTTTGCCCATGGGTCATAGTTTGCCAACCCCTGCACTGATTCAGTGAATAATTTTTCAGAAATAGGAAGGAAATAAATTAAGGCCCAGAGAGATCAACTGCTCCAAAAATAACAATCATAAGTGGCAGATCCAGGATCTGAACCTGGTTCTGTCTGACCTTGTAGCCTGTTTTTCTCTTAATCACCTCCCTATGCATTTCCTCTTTTCTGTTTTAGAGATTTGTTTGTGTTCTCGGAGAATATATGTGATTATATATGTGTGTGTGTGTGTATAATTTAGCTTTTATTATTTATTGAGGTCTTTCTGTTCCAAGGTACTGCTCAGTTTTCTTGGGAATACACAGATGAAAATATAACATTCCCTTTCCCTCCAGGAGTTTTAATGTAGCATTAATTTTTTTTTTACATTCCCTCAACCCAGAATTATATTTGAGGACCTGGATGAGAAAAGATTGGTCAAATGAAATAACTTTGATCTTAAAAATGTAGGCTGCCAGCAGTTCCTTTATTTAAAAAGTCCTAATCTCTCCTTGGGATCAGCACTTTTTTTAAACATTTTTTATTGATTTATAATCAGTTTACAATGTTGTGTCAAATTCCAGTGTAGAGCACAATTTTTCAGTTATACATAAACATATATATATTCATTATCACATTTTTTTCTCTGTGAGCTACCATAAGATCTTGTATATATTTCCCTGTGCTATACAGTATAATCTTGTTTTTTTTAACTCTTAATTGCCAGGCCCTGGTCTTGAGGCTGTATATGGCCTCACTACACAAGTAAGCCTTGTCAGTCTCTGCTTTTAGAATATGGTCCATCTTAACCATGTTCTATATAACCAGGCTCATCGTGTGTATTGCAACTTCTGTTCAAAGTATGTTTAAATCTAATGCTGCAGAAGACATGCTGTAGGAAAAAGATATTTGGTAGAATATTTGGGAGTGTCAATTTGAAGAGTTCTTTAAGATCATAGACTTTGTGTACTGAGTCTCCACAGAGGCATACTCTGCTTTTTGTCTTGGTCAGAGTGGAATACATGTCAATGGCGCACCTCCTCTGATGCAAGCATCTCTGCAGGCTGGAGTTGCAGCACCAGGGCAGATACCAGCCACTGTAACAGGACCTGGCCCTGGTTCCTTAGCTCCTGGAGGTACGTTTTATTTAGAGTCTTCATCATTTTGGTATTTTGCTAAAGTTTTGTTACAGCAAATGGCATGGTGTAGCCAAATTATTATGTGGCAATGAGATCTTGATATTAAATTAATATGTAACTAGGAAGTATATATCCTAGTTGGAGGAAATAGTTGATTTTTTTTTATGTACAAATCCTATATATCTGATTATGAGAGCAGGGGAAAGGACAGTAGATTGGAAAAGTACAGTAAAATTCCAAATTACTGAGGGGAAAAATAGAATAAATGGAAACTAGACCAAGCCAGTGAATACAGAGAAAAGGAAATGACATTGTGGGGTAATAATAAACACAGTTAGGGTGGAAGGAATAGAATTTCGTATAGTCATTATTCTGCTAAATGTGAATGGCCTGAATTTTCCCATTGGAACCCAGAGACTGTCAGTTTAGGTTAAAAAGCACATGGGAGGGGGGAAAACAGAAACAAAATACCTGATCACATTTGTTGCTATATTTAACAAACATAAAATTGGATTTCATGAAATATCATTAGACCAAACAATAAAAGGAAAAAAATAATTTTAAAAACTATATATATTCAGTAAAAGTATATATATAGGTATTAATAGAGTATTTCTATTACACTTGTAGCTTTTTGTCATTCAACAGTCGTAACTAAAGAAGTTATAAGTGAGATAGTTATTCCCCATGTGAAACACCTTTATGAATGCATGATGTATATTAGTATTTAAAGTTTTTTTATGCAGCAAACGTGTTTCTTGTTAATTTATCTAATCTGGGTTAGATTGACTACAACACAACTCATGGGGAGTCATATGAGTTTAAAATGTTCTGTTTTATAGAGGAACCAGTCTAAAGGGCTAAATTGACAGGGAATAAAATTCAGCAAACTACGATTTTCACTTATCCTATAGAATTAGTTAAATTACCTTTCAATGAAAGAAAAAAGATTTTGGTTTTATACATTTTTGTGTGTTACAGGTGCCTAGCCTACCTTAAAATAGCACAAGTTGTAATATGGTCCTATTACACATGACAAGTGTGCAACCCATGACATATGCAGCTCATTACATAAGTCGAAAAACACCCAAAGTAGCCTATACCCTGTTCAGTGAGACAAGTGCACTTCATGCAATTGGATGTCATAGCAATGTCAAGTTGCTATAAGAGTTTCTAAGCATCCGCTGTCCATTTTTGTACTTAACATTGTCATAAACTGTTAACACAGAGTGTGTGGATCACTGTTGTCTGTGGACCACACTTTGAGTAGCACTGTGGTAGTAGACAAAAAATAAGGATGTTGAGAAATAAAATAATAGAATCAATAAGCTTGATTTAATATATAGAGGGAGGCTTGTATCTTTTGACTAAAGAACATACTCCCCCCATTTAAAAAAACTTGACCATGTTTTTAGCCATAAAATAAAAACAAATTTTAAAATGTAATGATTTTAGAGGCTGTATTCTCCGATTATGTCAGTAAAGTTAGAAATAAGTAATTAAAAGGTGACAAAAACCTTTACTTAAAAAATTAAGGAGAATTTGACACAACACTGTAAAATGATTATGAATCAATAAAAAATGTAAAAAAAAATTAAGGAACATGTGTAATCCTTGAATTAAAGAAGAAGTAAAAAGAAATTTATAAATTTTGTAAAAGACAACAAAAAGTAGTACACTTCATACAAAAAAAGTGCAGGAAATAGTGAAAGCAGTACTTAAAGGAAAATGAATATCCTTAGGTGCCTGTATTATTAAAGAATAAAGGAACTTACTAGTTCTAAAGTATTAGAAAAATAATTTTTTAAAAAATAAGGTATCAAGAAGAGGGAATTAATAAATACAAAAGTTGAAAGTAAGTGTAGAAGGAACTTAAGTGAATTTTCAAGTGATTTTTTTGTGAGTTTTTAGCATTTATAGTTCTGAAGTTATTAAAACTTCACAGATTTTTGAGCTACCCTGTACAAAGTTCTTTGTCAGTTGATGAGAGGTGGGGGCAATCTAGTAGAAAAGTAGACAAAGAAAATGAGTAGGCGCTTCATAGAAGAGCACATCATAGAAGAGCAAATTCAAATGGCAACAAAAACATTCATTTATAATCAGGGGATTGCATATTAAATAATGAGGTTTCACTTTATTTAAACCCATCAGCCTAGCAAAAGTTTTAGAGATGACACTTGGTATTGGTGGGGAGTGGTATATATTGCTGGTAGAAATGTGAAGTTTTTCAGCCTTTTAAGAAAGTAGCCTCACATTAAAATTAAAAATTCATATACACTTTGACCTACCAATTTCACTTCTGGAAAGCTAGCCCATACAAATAAAAGTGCCATTATGTGATAGAGTATAATATGAGCAATTATGCCCAGAATGCCTTCTGAGTGGTCTGAATAAATCATAGAATATTATGGATAGAAGAGAGCTTTGAAATCATTTGGACCTCACAGTTTAGTGTGAATTAGAATCACCTGAAGGGCTTATTAAGCCGCAGATTGATGGTCTCCACCCCTAGGCTTCCTAATTCAGGAGGTCTAGGGTAGAGCCCTGAGAATTTGCAGTTTTGACAAGTTTCTGGTGATGCTGATGCTGCTGGTCTGGGGACCACGTTCTAAGAAAACACTGGTTTAGACAAACTTACTCACTTTATAGATGAGGAAGCCTACGGATATGTTAATTTTATCAGACCAGTTCAGAATTACAAGTACTTAGTGGCATTAGTAGGCTAACACAGATTCAGGATCTTAATCCTTGCCTGGGATGTTAAATGGGATAAGAGAATGTGACATGTACTTGGGGTATTTTAGGTGAGTATTAATGAACTACAAACAGTTCAGCTTGTCTTTTGTCCCCACTCGCAGCATATATTGTTCCTTTGAAGAAAAGAGAATTAATTACTATGTAGGAAGGACCAGACAAGGACTTGTGACACATGATTAGTCTTTGTGTAGCAATCATACACCACTGGTTAGAGTAGACCTGTCACTCTCAACCCTGTTAGACCAGGTGGTCCCTTTTTGTAACAGGTATTTTGCAGTGACCATTTACTACCCTAAAATGAAATGCACAGATAACATAGCATATTTAACACAGATTCAAAAAAAAACTCAATATAGTACCCTAACTATAATACTAAAGGAGAACTAAAAGGAAATCACAGTAAAAGAATACTTTTAATATGCAAGTATTTGAGCACACCTACACTGGAAAACAAAAAATAGCAGTCAGATATCTGTACCTATACCATAAAAGTAAAAGACAGATTCACGTATGTTGTTTTGGCAACTCAGATACCACAAGGACTGTTAGCATTGATGATGTGATTTTCTAAAATGGTGAAAATAAAAACTCTTGGTAAAGTTCTTAACAAAACAAAACTCAGTACCATACTTTACTTAGTATTGGCATTTTGGGAAAATTCAGTGTATGTGTGTATATATATATACACAGATATATATCTATCTATGTGTGTATATATATTTATGTATACACACATATCAGCAAAACGTTTGAAGGTTTTGCAAGACAGTAATTCCTGATTTTTCAGGACTATCTCATACGTTGCAGGAAAACTAGTATCTTTTTTGGCTTCTCATAAAATGCCAGCCATGCCCCCATGGTCTTTGTCACAACTAAAACAGTGTACCCACACATTTATAAAATCCCCTGGGAACAGTACTGCCTCCTGAGGGAGGAGTTACGTGGGAAATTGCCATTGTTCTGTATTACAGAACTCCCTGCCAAGGTTTTGGTAACCAATGAGATTAAGAATTCTTATTGAACTCACTTCTGTCACCAAAGCCTAAAATGTACTACCAAACTCCATCTCCTGTATAACTGCATTGTTTAGTGGTAGTTCTGATCTTCCTTTGTAGGTTTTTGCTTGTTGGGCAGAAAGAGGAAATTTGTTAACTCAGCCACTGTCCATATTTTTTCCCCACTGTCCTAGTTTATGTCTTCCTTTCCTGCCCTTCATCTTCTAGGAGGAATGCAGGCCCAGGTTGGAATGCCAGGAAGTGGACCAGTGTCCATGGAGCGGGGACAAGGTAAATAAATACTAATGTCTGATTAATGTGGACTAGACTTGTGAAGGTTCTATATCTGCATTGTCTGATATGGCGGCTACTAACCCCACGTGGCTATTTAAATATTAAATTAATTGAATTAAGTTAAAATAAGGTAAAACCTAAAATGCATTTCCTCATTCACACTAGGCACAGTCTAAGTGCTCAGTAGCCACATGTGGCTAGTGGATATCATACTGGATATTGCAGATATAGAACATTTCCATCATTGCAGAAAATTCTGTCAGCCAGCACCGTCTCGATTTCTATCTAGTGATTCAGAGCGCGGCTCTACAAGAATTGATGACAAAGCAAATGGATCCTTTGTTTCTATTTAATTTATACCACCTTTTCTGATAGTTTAATGCTTCTGCTGACACGTTCTCTCTGCCTCTACGGAGATCTGAGTAAGGAATTTTACTAATGAGCATGTAATATGTGGCTGGGTAAGTGGAAGACTAAATTTAAACCCCAGAGAAAACTGGGAGGGGATCAGAAGTCTGTGAAGCCTGCTTGATAAGGGCATGTTGTACTGTGGCGGTAGCACTGGACACCACAGCGGCAGCCACTCCAAAATCTCTGCATTATTTCTCTATGTTACTGGAGTTTGAAGAAAAAATGCAGTGATTCGGTTGAAAACAACATCAGGAAGAAAAAGAGTGAGAAAAGGAACTAATAGTTAAAACTGAGTGCATCCTAGAGGCCATGCACTTTAATTTTCATAAACAGCCTCATGAGTTAGGTGGCAGCACCTCAGTTTTCAGGTGAAGAGCTGGAAGCTCAGAGTTTTGAGTTACTTCCTCAAGGGGACATGGTAAGTAAACGCTGGTGTCTGAGTAACATGGGCTGGGCTTGGTGCACTCATCATCTCTTCCTAATAAGCTAATAAGCGGCAGAACTAAGATTCTCAAGTCTCTGGCTCCAAAATCTATCCTTTTTCTGTCAATCTACAACTGCTTCTATTAACTTCCAAAAATGCTCTTTAATGTCTTCTTATTCACTGCGTCCTTGCGATGAGAATGAACTGCTTTGGACAAGCATAGGGAAGCTTAAGTTCCTTCTTATTAACATATGGTCTATAAGCAAAACCCATTTTTTTTAAAAGCACAATACTAAAAATATAGGCCTGTGCACTGTACTCCTTGTCTGTGGTTTGTACACTGGGATTCGTTGCTGAAGCGACAAAACTAATCATCTTGGCAGGCAGTTGACAGTGGAACAAGCTCTTGTCCGAACACCTCATCTGAGCAGCCCATGCTTTTGTGCTGTTGTGCCTCGCCACTGTCAGATCATGTGTGTACCCCAAACTATTTTTGCAACAGTGAGAAGGAATTAGGGTTCAGTCCTACCGTTACCTCTCCCCCAGCCATCAAATCAATCAAACTTCAGCTGTTGAATACACACTTCCGCAAGACATCTTCCTTCCTGCTATGGTTATCTTCACCTTTCCAGTCAGAAGTTAACAAAGGGAAATGACTTGAATTTTGAAGGTATATCAAGGATGTCTTCATGAAAAGACAAAATGAAATGGGTTTCCTTTTATAGTTATCCTTTAGCATCCAGCTGAAGAAGCGAGAATCTTCCCATTTGTACCCAGTCGGTCTTGCTTTTCCTGCAATCCATGCTGCTTTCGCACATTTGTAATGGTGAAAAGAGACAATGAGATGTTTAAGAAGATACTTCTTCTTGCCTTCCACCACCTTTTTTTAAGTGTTGGTGCCCTCGTCATCTTATTAGTCTTGGTTTGCTGTTGCCATGATGTTACTTATTGAAGACTTGCAGTGGCAGATTATTTCTTGAGGAGTGATATTCTCTTTCCTTGTGTAAACTTCATTTACTGCATTCCTCCGTTTGATACTTTTTGATAACAGAAACTCTTGTGCATTAAAAATACAGCAAAAATAGTTACCCTACTTTGTTATGGGCGTTTCCAGAATGAATCTTGCCTTCCAGGTTCAGTACAATCGCTTTCATTTTTTGCTTATGAAAATATGCTTGTGTTCTTTGCCTAACTAGAGATTCAGAACCATCCTTTCTATGTTTTTATTTCTTTTTTTAATAGAGTCACAAGGAGATTTAAGGGGAATTGTGGTAGCAGAGGTGAAAATTGAAAGTGGCTGGTTATTACTGTCCAAATAAAATCAGTGGCCCATAGGTTTTATGTTAGGAAGTCGTCTCATCAAAGCAAAACAGTTTCAGATCCCAAAGAAGCTAACATGGTTTCAGAAGGTTTTGTAGCCCAGGGCAAGCTAACGAACTGTTGGCTTTTTAACTTGTATGTGTAAATCTCCAGTGTCTGTCTGTGTATGCTTCTGCGTGTGTGTGCAAGCTATTTTACGTGTCTGCTCTTTCTTCTTTTGAACTTACTGCTCACCTAGGAACCCTACAGCACTCGCCCGTGGGACCCGCCGGGCCTGCATCAATTGAGCGAGTTCAAGGTACCCATTGGATCTGCGGGTTTCCTTTTGCTTGCGGTATTCAGGGTGGGACGTTGAGAGGACAGGGCTACTTGGCAGTCACCCTCACACTCAGAACCCAAAAGGGTAGTGTTTTGGGTTTTTGTTTTTTAATTTGTTCCTACTGGGGCCACAAGCCTAAGCTTGACCTCTTCACACAGGGCAGAGAGCATGGATGATACGGGCATCTGCCTCCCTACTGGTGTCAGGAGGCTTGGATGGAATAGCAGTCTGTAAGGAGACAGCAGGTTCTTGCAGAGCCATGGCAGTGTTCACATATGCCGAGACCCTACGTCTCTTTTGAGACTCCAGTCCTTGAACTAAGGTTGATGATAAGGAAAACCAGGAGCATAAGTTGAGGTTGTAGTGCTAGTCCTTGGCAGGTTGCTCCCCAGTTTGCTCTTTATATAATTCCATCCATACCTCTAACAAGGCACAGATTCTGCCTCCACCCTGCTTCCTTTCTTGAGCTGCAAGAGGAGTCTGCTGTGGTGAGGTCTCACCCACTCTAAGGTGTCTGAATGATATCGTCCACGGAATATAGAGTCATTTCTTGTGTCCTCATGTGTCCTTCACAGCAGTAACTCCCCGTTTGTTTCCCTGTCAGTGCCGATGCAAGACCCCAGAGCAGCTATGCAGCGTGGCCCCTTGCCTGCCAATGTCCCAACTCCTCGAGGTCTGTTAGGAGACGCTCCAAATGACCCACGCGGAGGCACTTTACTTTCTGTAACTGGAGAGGTAGAGCCTAGGTAAGCACTAACACAGAAGGAACAGTTTGGAGGAATCAGAGTTTTCCCTTGCTTTGAGAACAAAGTCTCTTCGTACCAGTTGGACCTGTTTGCCTGCTTCAGAAGATAAATGTTCCTGGCTGCTGTCCAAGACTAAGCACTTCCTGGGCAGAACCATGTAGCTGAGCATGTCATTTGGAACTAACCATTGCTACTCCATCTTCAGAAATTGGAACACATATCTGAACAGGAAAAACATACATTTCTTATTGGTAGTAGGAACACTGATGACAGTGATAATCATAATAATTGATATTAATAGGGATTATGCCTCTGATTCTGCTCTGAGTGCTTCACTGAGATCATCTCATTAAATCCACACAACACCCCTGGCAGATTGATACTAATATCGGTCCCATGTTACAGATGAAGAAACCAAGGCATAGAGAAGTTAAGCAAACATGCCTAAGATCAATCAGCTGTGAAGTGACAGAGCCTAGATTTGAATCCATACGGTAACCCATGTTCTTCAGCACCATACCGCGTATTCATTACATATAATGGATATCCACTACTTCCTCCTTAATTTGAGTGCCCCGACCAAATATGAAATTCTGGAATACATGGATTTACATCTCCATAGCTTTTCTTCGACCTGTTTGGTGTTATTCTCTTAGCATCTTTAGACTGATGTCTGCATCAGTTCTTTGTCTGATTTTTACTTACTGATCTTCTGGTTGACACTTTTTTCTTGTTGTTTTGTTCTGTTTTGAAATATAACATTTTTTTCTCCATCTCTAGAGGTTACCTGGGACCACCTCATCAGGGTCCGCCCATGCACCATGTCCCTGGCCATGACAGCCGTGGCCCACCCCCACATGAGATGAGGGGAGGGCCATTAGCTGAGCCCAGACCTCTAATGGCAGAGCCAAGAGGACCCATGCTAGATCAGAGGGGTCCACCCTTGGATGGCAGAGGTGAGGGGAAACCACGTCACAAGGCTGACTGGCAGTTGTGGGCTCACGATGAACCCGCTCTCTTAGGCTCTAATCTGGGATACAGAATGCTGGGGCAGTAGGGTTGGCAAGCATTTTTTAGGTTTATCTGCAAACCTGAGAAATTGAGGAGGGAAAGCAGTCTCATGTAGTTGGGGGGAGATGTGACTGGAGGAATAGATTTCTATCTTTCTTTGGTCATTGGTTCTTCTTGCAGTAAAGGTGAGTAACTACACAGTGGTTTCCTTGCCACTTTTTTAAATAGGCGGAAGAGATCCCCGAGGCATGGATGCACGAGGGATGGAGGCCCGAGCCATGGAGGCAAGAGGATTAGATGCTAGAGGATTGGAGGCCCGTGCAATGGAAGCCCGTGCGATGGAGGCCCGTGCAATGGAGGCCCGCGCGATGGAGGCCCGTGCAATGGAAGTCAGAGGGATGGAGGCCAGGAGTATGGATACAAGGGGCCCAGTCCCAGGCCCTAGAGGCCCCATACCTAGTGGAATCCAGGGTCCCAATCCAATTAACATGGGTGCAGTTGGCCCCCAGGGATCCAGACAGGTATGTGTAACACTCACTTCTGGCTTCTATGTGAAATCTTGATCTATTCAGGAATTGATTATTGAGGCTGATTATTACTGCTTTCTGATTTGGGCTGTTTCTCAGCTTGTTAGGGAAGATTAGGATCTCTCTTTAGTTTATCTGTCCCTCCGGGTGGTGATTTTCTGATCACCAGGATTATAGTCCAAAAGAGTAACCTTGTCCCACAGTTTCAAATCCCATTCAGAGCAGAGTCCCTGATTTTAGGGAATAGAAAGCACATCGTAGAATCTAGGCATGGATAATTTTAAAAACCTCCCCCAGTGATTCTAATTTGTAACCCTAAGAACCACTACATTGGAGCATATGAAGAACTATCAGTGGTCATTTAGATAATATTAGGTTTGCAGAAATCTATTTTAATTTACTTTCATCCCAAAGCCTAAGTGAACAGTGGCGTATGAAAGGCACTTTACTAATGCGCACACTAAAACCTGTGCATCTGAATTCTCATCTCTTCTTTCTCTTTATTTGGCTCTCTCCAGCTTTGTGTATATGGTGGCCTATGATTGTCTTGTCACTTCCATCATTTTTACCGTCCAGTTGGTTGTGGGAAGGTGGTACGTGTGTCTCTTCCCTGTGAGGTTTTTTTGTTGTTGCTGCTGCTAGCACCTTTGTTTCCCTCTAGCCCCTCCACCTTCCTCTTTCCTCTGTGTGACTTCCTCCTTCCTCTGTGCACTTCTCTCTTCTCTCTCCCACATGCTTCTGTGCCTTACTCCCCTTTGTGTGTGTGTGTATGAGAGAGAATTGTATTGTCAGAGCTGGAATGGAATGGGTCAGTTATCCAGTTCTCTTATTTTATAGGTTTGGAAACTGAAACCCAAGAATTCAGGTGACTTGTCCAAATTCACACAGCTAAAAAGTGGCAGAGCAAAGAATAGAACCCACTGTTTTTTCCACTGTCCTAATCTGTCCTGTTCTCTGCACGTTGTGTATGTGTATATGTGTATCTGTCCCCCTTCTTTAATATGAAATATGAATATGGTTTTTGGTATGCATAGAATAACACTTTTCTATTTTTTGTTCAAGTTTTACTTTTTAAAAAATGTGTTCATGGGCTTGATTTTTATTGTGCCCTCTGGTCAGTAGCCTCATAATTAAAATATTCAACAAATATTTATTGAGCACCTACTATGTACCAGACAGAGCTGTAGGTACTGGTGATATAGCAGTGTGAAGAAAACCAAGTCTCTGCCCCCTTGGGGCTTGTATTCTAGTTGGGGAGATAAATAACCGCATGATGTGCTTATGCAATTCTATCAATAATTCTTTGGAGAAAGATGTTGAAAATAATGGTTGGAAGACCATTTCTGGTTAACATCTTGCTCCTTTATCTCTGCTAGTACTTGAACTCATTACTCCTTAGTATTAGGATTATTATAGTTTTTATTAGCAGATTCTATAAGACCAATTAGATCTCAGGTAGAGAAAACAACTTTTATCTTCAAACCTTTTCAAAATTGTTTAATATGTTCAGTTATAAATAAATATATAAAATACATTCACTCATGTATAAAAGATAGGAAGAACTCCACTATCTCCCCTCTACCTGTCTCCCCATGACCCCATCTCCTGTAGATAATCTCTTTTATTAGATTTTTTTAATGTATCTTTCTAGCAAATAATATATATATACTTATTTTTGCAAATATGAATATACATATATTCTTATTTTTCCTTCCTTTAACTGTTCTGCACCTTGTTTTTTTACTTAACAGTATATCCTTAATTCATAGTTTTAAATTAGATTTTAAATTTAACTCCAGTCCACCTCATTGGAAACTTGTTGGTAAAAGGCGTATTACTGGGGTGACTGTGGAGCTTATTGTCCAAACAGGGACACGTTTGAGAGTGAAGAGTGCTGCTAGTAATTACTGTGGGGCAAAAGCATAAACTGGGACTGTCTTGGGCAAACCTGGATGTGTGGTCACCTGTGTTACTACTTGTCTGCCCAGAACAGGCTCTTTTGGAAACTTTAAATGGCCGTTATTAAATGGTTAGATCACATTACAGTACCTCGAATTAGTATTGACTGAAGCTTCAAAAAGTTTATTCTCATAGCTGTTTCAGGTCTGTAACAGATCATTAAGGTTTAGACGGGTCTCCAGATTAAGTATTGATGAAGAGCAGAAAGTGATGATATTCCAGCAATTGTACAAAGCTGTACTAATGCTTCATGTTGCTAGTGTCTTTGGGAAGTGAGTTAATGCATGTAAATGATTGTTCCAGATAACAGAACTATTCTGTTTTAAGCTACTTTAATAAAGAATAATATATAAAATGTACTGTGCTTCCTTCTCTTCTTAAACAGGATACCAAAAAATGATTTTAATCATTTCTGATTACTCGAGGTCATGATTAAATGTACCCATGATTGTTTATGCTGTCATAGAAAGCATAGTTGTCTTCTGTTTTGGTTTCTGGTCTCCTTTGCTGTCAGGCTGTCACCTTGCTCTTCACGCTGCTGTCATGCTATCTGCTCCTAATGGTTTATCCACATTTCTTTTATGCTTTGCTGCTTTTCATCTGCTGGGGAAGCAGGTAACATGTTTGTTAACAATTTGTGTTTAATAGTAGTACCACCTAAGCTCTGGGTGAATGCTTTGAGTGTGAACACAGCTGCAGCATAGGGACCTTTTAACAATTAGTCTAGGTGCTCTGAGGCCCGTGCCTTGGATTCTGGTTATCTCTCAAAAGCTTGAACCTATCAAACAACATATTAAGTACCAATAAGCATGATGCCACTGTACTTTGTTAACTCAGGTCAGTCATGTTTCTTGGTCTGAGGTTAGCAGAAAGCTCCTGCTGCATATTCTGTGTGGAAAGTTATAAAAAGCAAATGTTGGGCTAATAGCAATCTTTTCCCCAGAGGCCTTCCCTTCTGCTTTCATCTCTGCCTTACTTGTGGGTTAAGGCCCTTTGGGACGAACCACCTATCTCTGATTGAACTAGAGGTAGGGGGTGTCCCTATGAATGTAGCTTCCCCAGAGGAGCAGCATACATTATTCTAGACTCTCAGCTTTCGTTTCTGTTTCCACTGAGTGCTAGTTTCCGGGATGCTCTCAGTTTTCCCTGTGCTTATGTGGCTGAATTCTGCTGGATTTGATGGTATCCGGTTGTGCTGTGTGATATGTGTTGATGATGCTGGAGCTGTTGTAAGCAAAAGTGTCTAACTTGCTAGTTGATCTCTGGCTGAACCCTGCCTTCTGCTGTTGCTGACAGTAGGAAATGATCTTCAGAGTCATTTATTTGCTCTCTTTACTCCTATCCATAATTAGATCATATTTTTTCACATTGTTATTACTGGATTCTGGTTATCTAAATGAGAAGTACTGAAAATCTCTCCTCATCTCTCTCTCTGCACATAGGTCCCAGTCATGCAGGGAGCAGGCATGCAAGGAGCAAGCATTCAGGGTGGAGGCCAGCCTGGTGGCTTCAGTCCTGGCCAGAACCAGGTCACTCCACAGGACCATGAGAAGGTAAGCAATGCTGTCCAGCTGCCTCCATATGCACAAATCTTTTGGCGTCCTCTTTTCGGTTACCATGCGGAGGTCCTGGGTCTTCAGTCCCTTTGGAAGTAATGTTTACACTTAGAACTCTTTATGATCTTGTTACCTGAAAACCTATGGGCCTGCTTCTAAAATTCTTAAATGGATGTATTTGAACGGCAGCTTATCTTACATTTCAGACATCTGCCAATAGATTTTTGTGTGCGCAGTCCTGATTGACTTGGAAATTCAAATCCCTTTCTTCCTGCCGCTTCTACCTTATCCCTAAAAATGATAGCAGGTCCCTGTGAGTATATCTTTGTTTCTATATTTGACCATTGTGGGGAGCTCATCATATCTGATGGAAAGGCCAAAACTTGTGAAAAGGAGACACTTTCAAAACAGAATTAAAAACTGTAGACTGCCCAGGACTCACAGATACCATCTTAGTCAGCAAGAATTTGGGGTTCATGAAGGTGTCTGTTTTGAGTCTTCTAATCTGAGGTAATGTTGTACTTTTACTTTTCATTGTGCCTTTTCTTACCAGCTGGTTTTGGTTTTTTCTTTCTTTTGTTTTATTCTGTTTTGTTTGGCCTACTGTGTTCTGTGAGTGAACTCTCCTTCCTTTTTGGACAGAAGCTGGTGGTGGTGTTTTTTAGCTGCCGTCATTAAAACTCACTACCTTTTTTTTCCTCTGCACAGGCTGCTTTGATTATGCAAGTTCTTCAACTAACTGCAGACCAGATCGCCATGCTGCCTCCTGAGCAGAGGCAGAGTATCCTGATCTTAAAGGAACAAATTCAGAAATCTACTGGAGCGCCTTAAAAGGTGAGCAGACTTAACTCTGCCTGAGTCAGACAGGCTCCTTGTGCACTTGGTATATGCTTTCAGGCTTAACCAACAAGACTCTCTGAGGCCTGCCCTCTTGGCTAGACCCTTCACCCTTCAGTAGTTCAGCCCCTATCACAGCAGGGGAAGGCAATAGGCATTTGTTCAGTTGTTGAATTGATTGTAATCCAATGTAACCTTTCCTGGTGGCAAAAGTGACACATGGTCAATCTAATGATATTAATAAAATACAGAAATCTAGAAAGTTTAGGGTAAAAGCTCTGCTTCCTCAACCTCATTCCCCAGACATAACCCCTAAATATAGTTTGGTATGTATCCTTCCTAGAATCAGTTGTTATTTTCTTCCAAACTATCCCATCAAAGTGGAATATACAAACAAGTTCAATAGAATGTATAAACATTTGAGTTTCCAGTATTTATTTTACTTTGAGTATTTTGAGGTTAAACTGCTACAGCACACAATTTAAGGCAGTGAATGTCCACCATCCCCATCAGTCCCTGTACATTTTAGAGGTTGCTCTACACTGCTGCCCTTATTTTTCTTGCTCATCAGTTGGATAAAAAGGAACATAATCGTGTGAGACCTAACTAGATTACGTGTATTGGTGTTTCTTTTTAAAATTTTTCCCCAACATCTTATATTTTATAAACAATTCTGTTTTCTAAAAACAGTTTAAAAATCTTCATTGTACCAATATCAGCTGCAATATCACATTTTGAATTTCTACTTTTTCTCCATCTTTCTTACAGTTCCCATTTATGTATCATCATGTAACAGTGAACTCATTTACACTAACCTAGCCGTCTTTACTAAATATATTGTACTTGAATCCTTATTTGTAACATTAAAACATCCAAACTGGAAATATGCATTGTATCTGTATCTCAACTTTAAATGACTGAACTTCAATGGGAAGCAGTCATAGATGGACGGGGATAGACTTTCAGTATGACCAGTACTTTAACTTTTTAGTCCAGATACCCAAGGCATTCTATTTTCTTCAGTAAAAGTATAGACTATCTGTTATATTCATAGGAATATAGATTTTTTGAAAACTCTTCCTCTCTTTTACTTTTTCTGATTTATTTATGCCAGAGAAGGCATTCCCTACAATATGGGGAAATTGTGTTTTGGGATAGTACAGGTAGAAATGTTTCTGAAAGTTCTTTCTTTGTGTCATTGTATATTCTTGCTTATAAGATACCTCATTTCAAAACCTTGCACATAAACCAGAAAGCGAGGTTTTTTGTTTGTTTTACCTTTTATTTTGAAATATTAAAAATTCACGGCAAGTTGGAAAAATAGTACAAAGAGCCTTGTGTACCCTTCCCCTAGCTTCCCCTAATGATAACATCTTGGGAAGTTAGTAGACATAATACCTTTTTGGTTTGTAGTGAAAAATGAAGAAATTGACATTAGTATATTATTGTTAAGTAGACTACAGACCTTATTTACCTTTCACCATTATTTTAAAACCTGCATTGATATGTGTGTGTGGTGGGTATGTAGTTCTATGCAGTTTTATGCAGGCAAGGTTTTAATGTGCATTTGCTGGTATTTGTGCATACTGTAGCCAGAAGGTTGGCTCTCCCTCCATCCTATACATTGCTGGCTGTGATCCATCTCTGCTATCACTGACAAACTTATACAGCATCGCCGTTAGATCGCTGGTTCTCAACCAGAGGCAGTTTTGCCCCCTACAGGACATTTGGAAATGTCTGGAGACATTTTTGGTTATCACAGTTTTGGGGGGTATGGTGTGCTACTGGCATTCAGTGGCTAGAAACCAGAGATACTGCTAAATGTCCTATAATGCACACGACATCCCCTGATAACAAAGAGTTGTCTGGCCCCAAATGTCAGTAGTGCTGAGGTTGAGAAACTGCTGTAAGAGCTGATTACTTTGAGGAGGCAGGAGGCAGACACCTTAGAAATCTGTCCCTGGTGTTGTCCTCCTATGCACAGCCTCCCTTCCCTACCTTTAACTTTTTTCCCTGCTGTTTGGGGAAGAGAACTTTGTCTCCACTTCTAATGGCTTTCTCCCAACTTTTCCTTACAGGTTTTCAAAAATACCTGGCAACAAATCTGGAAAGTAATTCCATAACTTGGTTGAAACGTTGCAAAAAGATGACTTCTGCATCCTAACCCTTGAATGACTCAAATTGGTGCCAGGTGGAGGACTCCCATCACCTCTCAAAACAAAATCAGTTCATTCTGTTGTCTTAGTTTGTATATTTTCTGTGACTTGAAATAAACTTTGAACACAATTTTAGTATACTGCAAATTGATATACACAACCTTTTTGCTTTTAAAAAGCGGAGCACCAAGGGTGAAACCTTAGATGCGTTTTCTACCCTTACCGCAGTATTGTACTTTAATGTTATGTTGCCACAGCTCTGTTTTTTCCTTCTAAGTTAGCCATTTATTCTTCTTGATGATATTTGAGAATTTCTCAGAAGCGGTGTTTTCTGGGACTTAGTTTTTGCTTAGTTTGCTACCAACAGGAATAATACGATTTGCCCTTTGAGAACTTGCTAGAACTTCTGAGTCTACTGGGAAAAAATAGCATGTGCTTATTGCTGTAAAATGGTCAGTAGACCAACAAAGCAAAGAGCCTACCTAGCAGAGCAGTATATTTAGTTTAGAAAAATGCAAATATCAAAACGCATTTCTTTTTGTCAGTACCAGGTCTATTCACATACATAGTTCAGAGTTAAGACAAAGATGACATATGAGCACTGGTTTGAGTGTGTCAACAACACTAGAGACCGTTGACATTTACCTGTCTCTTCTAAAACACTTCAGCCTGGGTAGTCAACCATAAAAGTTAAGAAAGCCACTAATTTTTCACATGTTCAAGATGAAATAAAAACAGAAATCAAACAAACAAAATACATTTCATCCTCCCTTCTGGATAATTACTAATCTACAGCCCTACCATATAACCAAATTTATTCCAGGAAATTAAAACATGGAAACTCTAAAATTTTACATTTTTCTCCTTTAAGAGGACCAAATATAGAGCACAAGCAGTCAGACTGCCCATTAGGCCTGCCCCTGCCTGCTTCCTTCCAGATGGGTGTGAACATCATTAGTGCCACTAGCTCTAACCTATGGCTCTTCTGGCCCGGTCTTCTTTCTCTCATAGTGGCATTAAGGAGAAACATGATTTCTCTCCCATCAGGCCAACCTCAAGAGGTGAAGAGGTGCCTTAATAATTAGTAAAGTTCCACTGGAACTACTCTTGAGCCTATTTATATTCTCAGAGTCCTAGCCCCGGCGTTAGGATTATGGTCAAGTGAATTAAAAGCCTGCCATAGGCTTAGAGAATGTAATAGCATATTGCTTACATGCCAAGCAAAAGAATGCAAAGATAATCAACTTTATGAGAGGCATTAAAACTGAGGGATTTTTCTACTCTGATACATGAACATTTAATACAACAAAAATTTGCTGAGCAAAATACTTGATATTACAATTTAGGAAGAAAAACTTACTCAAAACAGCTGAGGAGCTTTCTGGGTATCCTGCTCATCCCCAGTTCGGGCTTGGGTGTTGATTATGTGTAGGATTTATTATCATTACCTTTTCTGCCTAGTCCATGAGCATTCTAGGCCTTGATGTATTGGTTTTAGCAGTAGTCATATCTTGAAGTGTCACTGTATTTAGACATTAAGACCAAGAGTGAAGCCTTTCTCATTAGGACCTTATAAGTTTCAAGGAACACTAAGATTCCAAATCAAAGTCACTGAAGATCAAATTTTCATTTGGTCAGCAGTTGTTTACTAGGAACTGTATCATCAGGGTTCCATTGTGCATTTCCTAAAGCCTTATTTAATTTAGATAGCTGAAACCCAGGAAATTGGCAACAGCAGAGGTACTCCAATCTATTCCGATGGAAATATCCATTAGGTATTTTTTTACTGATGTCCACTTAATAAATGAAATACAATTAGCTACCATGAGTTCAATACTTACCTTTATTTTGTTCAGACTAGTGACTGAAAAAATTGGTTTTATTAATCCTTCAAGTCATGTACGTTTCTGGATAATTTAAAAACAACTATTTATTCATTTTTGTTCACTTAATGGTAGAGAAATAGGTGCTATAAGGTTAATTCAGTAGACTCATTCTTATAAGTCTAATGAATTGAACTGTCTTGGGGCACAATGAAGTGTGGATTTTTCCCCTCTTTTAAGGGCCCTGGTCTTTCCTTCTACTGATTCACTGTGACTACTAACATCCCGGAGCCAGGTAGATGGGAGAAAATAAAAAGCATTTTGCTAGAAGAAAGAAAAGGCATTTTGCTTATGTCATTAGGTGAATGATTCCTTAATGAATAGGTAGATAGGAGCAAAAAACATGTCAAAATTTTAAATTTTCTTTTTTCAAGACTAAACATTAATAAACCGCTTAATAAAAATGGCAGTAAAGAGCCCTTGTTGACTAAATAATCATCCTAAGGTGGGACTTCAAGTTTTCACAATTATTTCCAACAGAACAATGCAAGCTAATGACAACATAGCTTACTCTCCATTATAATGAAATTTCAATTAAGATTAGCATACTTTCAAGATTTTCTTTCCCAAATGGACAGCCTTGATAAAGTAACAAAAGATTCATTCATTAAGCAAAGAAGAAAATCCTTCATTTTTTGACAAGCAAGAATAGGTAAAGCATAAATTGCTGTTCACACTGGATAAGACTTATGTTTATAACAGTGGTGAGAATGTACATGGTGTTATATAGGGATTGAGTTCTTGGTAATTTTATGTTTGTTGTTTTCCTATTTATGCTTATTATTGTGTTGTCATTAATTCGTTAATAAATTTTTATTTTAAAAAAATCACCCTACTTAGAAATCTTCTTTGAGGGTGGGAGGTAGGGGAGAATGTGACCCAGAGCCCGGGAAATAATAACACTTGGAATCAACAAAATCACTTGGCGTTAAGTTGTATAACTGTCAAGCACCTCTGCTACCTTGCTGCAATCAAGGCATTCCAAAAGGATTTGCAATTGTCTTCCCAAGAAAGGATCCATGGGCTTTGCAATTATTGGGACTTCTGGAGTTTTTAAGTCCATGAAGCTCAGTGATGATGAAGTTGAATCCAATCAATAAAGAATGCCAGGGAGTCAAGGCTTGAAAAACACGTATTGTCTTTAAGTGGCTGCCCAGACCTGACCAGACCAAGTAAACTGTTAAAGATACAAAGGAGAGACAATGCAGATCACCATCCTTATTCCCATAATTCAGAAATTTTCTTTGTTGAAGTGGAATTGAACCTTCCTTGGATCCAGACTGGAGTATCGTTGACAGCATTTGCTCAGGCTCTTTGCCAAGGTCTGAGGTCCACATAGGAAGACTCCCACCGCCGACCTGCAGGAATAGAAAGGTAGGCCTAGAATGCCGTGGGAATGGAGAAGCTGCCTCTGCGCGGCAGGCCGCTCCTACTCTCAACAACCTTGCGTTAAAAACTCAGCTATTGGGAGTGGGGTGAAATAGCTCAGTGTTAGAGCATGTGCTTAGCATGCATGAGGTCCTGGGTTCAATCCCCAGTATCTCCAATTTTAAAAAATAATTAATAAACCTAATTACCCCCCAAAACAAAATACTAATAAAAATAAATTTTAAAAATAAGTAAATAAAGGTTTTAAATTCAGTTGTTGACTCCCTCTCACGTTTGTTACAGTAGCTTTCTCACCTTTTCCACTTGCAAGCCCCAAATGTGCTCCCAGCCCTTAACACTCTCAGCACTCAGCCTTTCTTATTCTCTTGGTCTTGAGCACAGACGCTCAGGAGATGTAGTGCCACGTAGTGATTCAGTGCTAGGTTCTGGAGCCAGGCTGTCTAGATTTAAATCCCAGTTCTGATGTTTGTCCCAGCTGTGTGACTTTAGGCAAGTTTCTTAACCTCTCTGTGTCTCTATGTCTCCCCTCTGTAAAATGGGGATAAAAATAGTACCCACCTCCTAGGGTTGTTTTGAGGTTTAAACAAAAAACATATGTAAAGCTATTAGAAAGATGCCTAGCACATAGCAAGTGCATATGTGTCAGCTGCTATTAAAGCCATCCAGTGTGCACTTATCCCCACAACAAATTTTCTCACACTGAAGACGTGGTGGTTCTTCTTGCCAAGGATAATCTTTCTGACTAGATTCTGGGTCGCCCTCTCCTTCCTTCCCTCATACCTTCCTCTCCCCTCATTTTACTTGACACATAATTCACATATTTACCCTTTTAAAGTGTACAGGTAGTGCTTTTCAGTATAACCACAAAGTTGTACAACCATCACCACTATCTAATCCAAGAACATTTTCATCTTCCCAAAAAGAAACCCCAAACACATTAGCAGTCACTGCCCCCTCTCCCCATTTAGTTCCTTAATACTTAAGCATTCCTTAGTACTCTGTCCTCTGCCACTCTCTCTCCTAATAATCTCATCCCTTCTCACAACTTCAACTATGGTCAGCTTGACACAATAATTAACATAATCTCTTTTGCTTATATGCTGCTTTACAGTTTACAGAGCATTTTTCATATATGGCATAATATTCATGACAATCCTGCAAGTGAGTAGAGCCAGCACTTACTAATAATACAACCCCCGTTTTACAGATGAGGAATCTAAAGATCAGAGGGTTTTCGAGCTCAAGGTCCCAGACCCGGAAAGTGTCAGAACTAGCAGCAGAAACCAGGATCATCCAAATCTGAGTCAGTACGTGTTCTCCCCACTGCCTTCATGAAGCCTTTCCTGACCACCCCATGTGGGCATGGACATTCTTTTCCTTCATGTCCATGTGCGTGTTTCATGGAGTGCATCATTTTGCTTTGAGCTGATTGTATGCATCACTTATTAAAATCTGTATTCCTTGAAGGCAAGAATCATATCCTATTTCTCTTTCAACCTCCAAAAGTTTTAGAAAGTGTATGCTGAGCCTACAGAAGGCAACCAGTAATGTTGGTGGAATTGAACCGATCTTACCTGCCAACCTGTTCCAGGAATTTATGTAACACCATCGGCTTAATCTCCTTGCCATTGGAGTGGCTGATTTTGTGGTACCAGACTTTTATGTATGCTCTAGTATGTCTCAAAACCCCTCAGAAAACCAAGGTCAGGTCATTGGTTAATCAGTTAATACACTCCAAACCCTTTTTAGTTTAAGTTCGGGTCATTAAGGCCCAAGATAATGCATCTGAATTGTTTCATTCTCTATTTTAGTTGGTAAAACCACCAGAACTGAGTTTCTTTGCCTTACTGTTTGAATGCGGACTTTAAGGAGCAGCAAACGTCTTCTCATCAGTTACGAGATCATGGCCCTTACTGGGTGAAACCTTAGATGAAATTTCCTCATTTTTAAGCAAGAATCTAAGATTCATGCAAATAGTTTCAGCCTCAGAGGTCTTTCGCCAAGAATGTTCAATGTACTGTAATACCTTTCCTAAATCTTAATTTTGGAAGCTCAACCAACTAGAGAACACACTTACTTGGGGTGGGCAGCAGCTATTGCAGAAAACTCATTGTCCCACATAGGTCTCCCAAAGAAGGTTTTCTGTTTCAGACCTGTCAGGATGTCAGTGGCCCTGTCAAAGTTTAATGTTGCATGACCAGCCTGGAGTCAGAGAAATAAGAAGTTAGAAAAAGCAGGTCCTGATAGCTGTCTCTTCCTTCAGCCACTTTTAAATTTGGGTGTGAAGGTGAGAGCAGGTGGGAAATCTTAAGAAATAATTACTTCTAATCAGCATAAACTACCTTTCTTCTAGCATTCATCTTGCATCTATAACATGGAAATTAGTATGTTATTGAACTCACAATGTTGCTGTCCCATCCAGTGAGGAAGAGACGGTAGTTTAGAAAACCCACTTTGCCTAATTCCTCCATCTCCTGTTCCAGGGAAGCCAATAGGTCATTGAACCAGGCGAAGGCACCCGTCTCCCTGCAGATCCAGTAGAAATAGATCTGGAAGCAGCAAAAGAGAACGTAACCTTATTAAGTGTCCTTTACGATGTGCACTAGGATGACACGCTTATGTACATATACACTGTATTTATTGATCAAGTCTAAGAGTGACATGAAAAATCACATCTACAGAGCAGCAGAACCTAGGTGGCATCCATATCCATTTCCAGAGTCTGACAACTACCCACATGGAAAGAGAACTCCAACATTCTCTTTGGTTCAAGGTGACTTTAAACTCCAAATTGAAAATGAAGACCCAGTTCTTATGGTAAGTCTGTAGAGTGGATGCCTTGGCAGAGAGAAGTGATCATTTACTGTCATAACTCCTGGGAGAGGTTACTCTATTATCAACTGTAAAGTGCTTAGCCCAAGAAAGCAATGGACCTATCAGGCCCAGACCAGATAAAAAGTGGTATTCAAGAGTGTACCGTTTGTGTTTTGAGGTTGTGATCTGCATGCCGGAATTTGTACCAGATGGATTTCAAGATGGAAGCGAAGGGGGTAACCCCAATTCCTGCTCCAACCAACACAGCCACTTCATAATGGAAAACATCCTCACTGGCAGTGCCAAAGGGACCGTCCACCTCAATCCTGGTGGAAGGCAAAAGACAATGGGCAAGTGAAGTCTCATTTCCATCCCCAACCTCAAACATCCTCCCAGAAACGTAGTTGTTCCACAGCTGATTGCTGCCTGCTTGTTTTAATCATACTCTATTGTACCAGACTTAAGGTTCAATGAGGAATTGCTTTCTCTTTTCTGACTGTCTGCATTCTGGTCTGGGTCTCTGCTGCTCTCAGGGACCTACCTGGGAACCGGTGAATCCTGTTGTTCAAAAGCCCTAATGAGATTTTCTGTCCAGTCCCCTGCTGCTCGGATATGAATGGAGAAGAAGTCTTCCTCCGGAGCAGATGTCAGGGTAAAAGGATGCCATTCCAGGTAAGAGATTGAGGGGCAATTAACAAAAATATACTGGCCCACTTCCATGCTGAAGCCACACTTATTCATCTGCAATTCCACAACTTTGGATGGGTGCATGACAACCTATGAATGAAGCAGAGGGCAAAGGAGGCAAATTCAAATGGTGACAGGGGCAGGCAGATAAAGTAAATGAGTAAAGCTGGAGGGCTAATGATGGCAGTGAATTGTAAGCTTAAGTCCTTTCTAAAGGGGGCAGCAGTTACTAAGCCCAGACAATGGTTACACTGTGGAACTGAGACAGCATTATCAGGTTGCCTGATTCTTGAAGAGAAGCCAGAAATGCCATCTTTAGAAATGGAAGTATAGTTGATTTACAATATTGTGTTAGTTCCAGGCGTACAGCACAGTGATTCATCTTTTTTTCAGATTATATTCCAGTATAGGTTATTCCAAGATATTGAATATCATTCTCTATGCTGTAACTGGGTAGGAAGGAAAAGCAACAAGAAATGCCATGTTTTTTTAAATGTGAAAGCCTCCATCCAGATTTCTAAATGTTAGCAACCAATTCGGCTTTCTAAACAATCAGTGTGTGAGGCGAACAAAATCTTTCTGTGGGCTACAGCTGGCGCAGGCTGCCTGTTTGCAGCTTCGGACATAGACCCACGCTGATGACTTCTGCCAAACCTCTCTTTCCAGTTCTATCCAACACTGGAGGAACTAAGTATATTGCCCTCAAGTTCTTTTTTATTCCCTTCAAGATGACAACGTGACAACTTATTTCTATAATCAGGAAGAACCAGAACTCCTTGCATAGCAAGAAGGAAATGCATATTCTTTACCTTGGTAATCACAACCTTCTGCTGGGAGCGATAAAATCGAAGGATCCTTTCAAAGAGATAAAGAATGCTTGGTGCAAGGATCCACTTCCAAGACTGCACACAGAGACAATAAAAAATGAGGTTACACATTAAGCTCTTCTTTAGGATTTATTTGTGTAGCAGTTCATTCCTTCATTCAATAAATATTTATTGAGTTCTCTGATGTGTATCATTATTAAGCCACTAATTTCACCAATATTTGAAGACACAAACAGAAACAAATAATCTACAAAGGTTTTGTTTGCTAAACTGTTACTCATAAAGCAGATCATTTCCTGAAATGTTACCGGTCTCACCAGGACACAAGAGAAAAGCAAAGGAATAAAATACATGGTAATAATATATATTATATACATTCTTAAAATTTTTTTAAAAGTTTAATTTTAAGAATCTGAGACCATCTTTCAGGACAACTTGTCCAATCTGAAAAATCAACAGAGAAGGTAGATGTGAAATAGAAGCAGATGACTGAAAACCAAACGAACAAAAAAAAGAAAGTATGTAGCTGACACACTATTAGTAACAATATATTAAACTCGGTATTTATCCGTCACCTCTTTTCTCAAGTGCTCAAAACATCTAACATAGTAATATACTTTATCTTGTCTATATTTAAAAAAAAAACAGCCTTTCCATCCCTGAGATCTTCTCAAAGGTAGCAGGTTGCTTCCATATGCGCAAGAGCTACTAACAATGTATTTCCTAGTAATGCTAAGTCATGTTCTTTTTTACACAATTGCTTAAGCATGATACATCGGAACTGTGCAGAATGAGGTTTCTTATGCCATTTCAGGCAAATAACTTCCTTGGGTATCTCTGGGGAAGAAAGGGGCATAGACTGGATAGTGAACCTGAGAGTGGACATAATACAGTTTGATGCTACTTCTTATTGGGAAAGAAAATCCCCAGCTGAATTCAGAAGATATGAAAAAAATATATTTATGAAGTGGCTAATAACAACGTGGGAAAAAAATGTTAGCTTCGAAAGTAATCAGAGAAATGAATACTAAAACAAAATAGCATCTTGGCCTCTCAAATTGGAAAACAGCTTTCAACAATAATGCCCACCGTTAACTGGGGTGCAGGGAAATAAGCATATTCACATGTGCACCTGGGGGAAGTACAAATAAGTAGCATCTTCCCAGAGAGCAATTTGGCAACACATTTCAATGGCCTTGAACATTCCTTCTCTTTGACCCAGGAATTTTACTTCTAGGAGATGGAGTATAAAGCAATAATTAAGTTGTGTGTGCACAAAGTATGTGCGTATACTAATGGCCCATTATTTACTAAGAAAAAGAAGACAAATTGGCATATCATACAGATTTTTTTGACCAGTACCAAACTATCTTTTCTTAATATATTTTTTTGTATTGGGATATAATTGACATATAACATTTTAGTTTCATGTGCACAACATAATGATTTAATATTTGTATATATTGCAAAATGATCACCACAATAAGTCCAGTTAACCCTTCTCACCATGAATGGTCACAAAAATTTTTTTTTCTTGTGATGAGCAGTTTTAAGATCTACTCTCTTAGCAACTTTCAAATAAGCAGCACAGTGTTATTGTAGTCATCAGGCTGTACATGACATCCTTGGGACTTATTTATTTTATAACTGGACATTTACACCTTTTGACTACCTTCACCCATTTGCCTTATCTCCCCTACAACCCCTGTCTCTGGGAACCATCAATCTGTCCTCTGTATCTGTGAACTCATTTTTTTTAAGTAGATTCCACATATAAGTGAGATCATACATCATTTGTCTTTTTCTGTCTGACTTATGTCACTTAGCATAATACCCTCAAGGCCATTAAAAATGACCACGTAGGAAAAAGTGGCAAAAATGGGATACCATTAGGCTTTTTTAAAACAAATGTTTCAGAAGAATATTTGACAATAGACTGAAGCATCCATGATATAGATTAAGGGGAAACAGTTATTACATCTAGGTGGTAAAACTGTGAAATTTTAACTTTCTTCTAAATATTTTTCTGTGTTTTCCAAACTTTCTACAATAAACATATTCTTTTTATCATTTTTAAATGGGGAGAATGCAAACAGATTATTTTTGTGTGTGTTTATGGAAGAAGGAAACCAATGCATTCACACAGATGGCAAAACTGGTGTTCTCTCCCTTGGGGTATTACATGACCAATCAAAGCAACCCCTGAGTTCTAAGTGTACCTCCAAATAGGCCAAACGTACCTTATCTCAGGTAATAGAGGGGAAAGAGATAGAAGTTAATGTGTAAGGTAAGACAGGGGATTTATTGCCTTAACTAGTAAGGGGCTAGTCAAGCTTTACAACTTCTTGTATTTAAGGACTGCCTGTCTACTGGTCAAATAATACAGAAGGTGTCTGGTCGTAGCCTGCAAGTTCCTCCGACTTTAGAAATGAAATGTGCTGTTAACATGCACCAGGTATTTCCTTTTAAAATTATTTTAAAAAATAGGTAATACATGTACATGTCACAAAATTCAAAAGTACAACAGGGTACATAATAAAAAGGAAATCTCCCTTCCATTCCCATCCGTCAGCTCCCCAAGGAAATCAATGCTATTATTTTGTGAATCCTTTTTGGAGAATATGAATTTAAGTATAATATTGGATTAAGTACAAATGGTAGCAGACTATACACACTGCCCCGCCTTTTTTTTCATGTAACATCTTAGAGACTGGTCCATATTAATAGGTGTAGAGCTACCTTTTTCTTTTCAGTGGCTACAGAGTATGCCATTGTAGGAAAGTTCTGTGATTTAACTAGTCCCCCATTAATGGGCACTTATTTCCAATCTTTTGTTCTATAAAGCAATGCTACAATGAACAACCTAATATGTGTAATTTAATACAAAGACAAAAATATTTTAGAGTAAACTCCTGGAAGTAGAATTTTAAAGTTTGATAATATTGCCAAATCACCTTTACAAGCAGTTGTACAGATTTACATTCTCACCAGCAATGCATGAGAGCATTACCAACATAGCACGTGAGCAAACCTTTTGATCTTTGCTGATCCGTTAGGTTTATTGCTGTGGTCATTCTGCTCGTATCGCCTACATCTTTTTAAAAATCAGGTTGTTAAGCTTTTTCTTATTGATTTGTACAAGTTATTTATATATTAGGAAATTAGTTCATGGTCTGTGAGTTGTAAAAACTTTTCCACTTACTAATTTGTCACCTGTCTTTATTTATAATGGGCTTTTTTTGCCATTAAAATTATATATAATGTATGTGTGGAGAGAAAGAGAAAGGGAGAGAGAAAAATAAATAAATTTGAATGAATATATATTATCTTTCCTATTCTGGCTTCAAGCTTTTAAAAAATATCATATAGAGAATATTTTTACTAACACTCCAGTATTAGAAAAAATGCCCATGTGGTCTTAGGGTGCTTTTATAATTTCTTTCTTTTTTTTCAACATTTAAGCCTTTAATCCGTGCATCTTTGATCCATATTTTACTGTAAAGTGTGGAATAAAAAGACAGCTTTTTTCCTAGATGTCTATCTTATTATTCTAAAAAAAATTACTAAATAATCTTTTTCCCCAACTGATTTGAAATGTCAACTTTAGAGGATTTTTAAACAAGCAGTTTTACCTTTCTATATGAAGACTGAGCTACTGCTCTTAATTCTGCATATGATTTAAAGACTAATCATGCTCAGAGCACTTTGAGGCACCTCAAGTCAACCATTCCCTTCTATTTATTCCTCAATCTAACATATTTTATGAACAAACAAAGGTAAGGCATAATATCCATGATAATTACCTTGAGGCACACCTTGAATTCCCTGGAACCCAGTTTCTTGATCATCCACTCTCAGACAGTACTTTCCAAGCATGTTCTTACAACATCAAAGAAATCCAACTTTAAGAATGCTTTAAAAAATAAATTGAGGGGGTTTCTAGTGTGGGCTCTGTCAATGACATATGGCAAAATAGGGCACTAAGCTTCCCAAGCCTCAGGTTCCCCAGCCAGGAGTTGAGGAGAGGACCCTCCTTCAGAGGGTTCTTGTTGACATTTTATGAAATCACAAGGCAGCAGGCTGTGGCCAAGATCGTGGAGTAGGAAGACCCTGGTCTCACCTCCTACCACAGGCAAACCAAAACTACAACTATCTACAGAGCAACTATCTATGAGAATGACCTGAAGACTAGCACAAAAGATTTTCCACAACTAAAAATATAGAGAAAACCACAATGAGATGGGAAGGAAAGGTGGAGTCGTGGTATAGTTAAGTCCCATCCTCCTAGCTGGCTGACCCATCTCCCCGGCTGGGTGACCTATCCCCCTGGCTGGGTGACCCACAAATGGGAGAATAATTACAACTGCAGAGGTTCTCCTCAAGGAGCAAGGGATCTGAGCCCCATATCAGGCTCCCCAGTCTGGGGTCCTGCACCTGGAAGACAAGCTCCTAGACTGTCTGATTTTGAAGGCCAGTGGGGCTTACTTCTGGGAGGCCCAGAGTGCTGTGGGAAATAGAGACTCCACTCTTAAAGGTACACATAAAATCTCACACACTGTGGGACCCAAGGCAGAAGTAGTAATTTCAAAGGGGTCAGACCTACCAGCTGATCTTACAGTCTCCTGGAGAGGCAAGAGGCTACTGGAGCTCAACCTCTAGGATATAGATCCTGAAGGCAGCCATTTTGGGGAGCTCATGCTACCACGAGGACACTGATGCTGGCAAGTGCCATTTTGGAGTCATTCTTCAAGACTATTAGTGCTGGGAGCTTACCCACTCACCAGCGGGCTAACTCTGGGATCCCCCTGCCAGACTGCACAGACAGTCACACTGGGACCTGGTCCACTCAAGAGTAGGCTGGCACCACTCCCAGGACCTGCAGACTGTGAAGGCAGTCATGCAGGGATCCAGTTACCCAGGAGGTCGGCAGCTACCACAAGAGGCAAGTCCTGGCAGCCAACTCAACCAGAAGCCAGCCATGCTTACCAGTGTGCCCACAGTAGTCAGTCTCATCACAACAGAAGAGCCTATGCAGCTTGCATGGCAGGAGGGTGCCATACAGCATATACCTCTGGTGACCAGAAGGGAGTGTGCTACTGGGCCCCATAGTATGTCTCCTATATAAGATCACTTCTCCAAGATCAGGAAGTGTAACTGACCTACCTTATACATAGAAATAAACACAGATAATTAGGCAAAATGAGGAGACAGAGGAATATGTTCCAGATGAACAAACAAGACAACACCCCAGAAGAATTAAGCAAAACGGAGATAAGTAATCTATCTGATAAAGAGTTCAAGGTAATGATCATAAAGATGCTCAACAAACTCAGGAGAAGAAAAAATGAACACAGTGAGACGTTTTAACAAAAGAAGAGCCAAACAGAGCTGAAATTAAATAAATAAAATAAAAAATACACTAGAAGTAATCAACAGTATATTAGATGATACAGAGGAACAGATCAGTGAACTGCAAGACAGAGTAATGGAAATCACTGAAGCTGAACAGAAAAAATAATTTTAAAAAATGAGGAGAGCTTGAGACCTCTGGGGCCACATCAAGCATGCTAACATTCACATTATAGGGATCCCAGAAGAGAAAGAGAAAAGGGCAGAGAACTTACTTGAAGAAATAATAGCTGAAAACTTCCCTAACCTAGGGAAGGAAGCCGATATCCAGGTCCAGGAGGCACAGAGAATCCCAAATAAGATGAACTCAAAGAGGTCCACACCAAGACACATTACAATTAATATGGCAAAAATTAAAGATAAAGAGAGACTCTTAAAAGCAGCAAGGGAAAAGGAACTAGTTATATACCAGAGAACTCCCATAAGACTAGCAACTAACTTTTCAGCAGAAACTTTGCAGGCCAGAAGGGAGTGGCACTGTATATTTAAAGTGATGAAAGGAAAAAAATCTACAATCAACAATACTCTAGCATTTGTCATTTGTGGATTTTTGAATGACGGCCATTCTGACTGGTGTGAGGTGATACCTCATTGTAGTTTTGATTTGCATTTCTCTGATAATTAGTGATATTGAACATTTTTTCATGTGCTTTTTGATCATTTGTATGTCTTCCTTGGAGAATTGCTTCTTTAGGTCTTCTGCCCATTTTTGGATTGAGTTGTTTATTTTTTTCTTACTGAGTCATATGAGCTGCTTATATATTCTGGAGATCAAGCCTTTGTCGGTTTCACTTGCAAAAATTTTCTCCCATTCCGTAGGTTTTCTTCTTGTTTTACTTCTGGTTTCCTTTGCTGTACAGAAGCTTGTAAGTTTCATTAGGTCCCATTTGAATGAATAAAAACAGACAGCTTTTGATAAAATTCAACATCTATTTATGATAAAAACTCTCAACAAAGTGGGTATGGACGGAACATACCTCAACAAAATAAACACCATATATGACAAATATACAGCCAACATCACACTCACTGGTGAAAAGCTGAAAGCATCTTCTCTAAGATCAGGAACAAGCTGAGGATGCCCACATGTGGCACTTTTATTCAAAATAGTATTGGAAGTGTTAGTTAGCCACAGCCATCAGACAAGAAAAATAAATAAAAAGAATCCAGATTGGAAAGAAAGAGGTAAAATTGTCACTGTTTATAGATGATGTAATAATATATATAGAAAATCGTAAAGACACCAGCAAAAAACTATTAGAACTAATAAATGAATTGAGTGATGTTGCAGGATACAAAATTAATATACAGAAATCTGTTGTGTTTCTATACAATAATAACAAACTATCAGAGAGGAAAATGAAGAAAACAATCCTATTTACAATGGCATCAAAAAGAATAAAACACCTAGGAATAAATCTAAACAAGGAGGTAAAAAACTGTACTTGTAATACTATAAGACATCAATGAAAGAAATTAAAGAGGACACAAATACATGGATGATATACCATGCTTATGGACTGGAAGAATTATTATTGTTAAAATGATCGTACTACCCAAGGAAATCTACAGATTCAATGCATTCTCTATCAAAATACTAAAGGCATTTTTCACAGAACTAGAAAAAATAATTCTAAAATATGTATGGAAACACAAAAGACCAGGGATAACCAAAACAATCTTTGAGAAAGAACAAAGCTAGAGGTATCACACTCCCATATTTCAATGTATACTATAAAGCTACAGTAACCAAAACAGTATGGTACAGGCACAAAAACAGACAAACATATCAATGGAACAGAACAGAGAGCCCAAAAATAAACCTACACTTACATGGTCAGTTAATCTATGACAAAGAAGGCAAAAATATACAATGGGAGAATGATAGCCTCTTCAGTAAATGGCGCTGGGAAAACTGGACAGCTATATGCAAAAGAATCAAACTGGATTACTTTCTTACATCATATACAAAAATAATCTCAAAATGAATTAAAGAATCCAGTGTAAGATCTGAAACCATAAAACTCCTGGAAGAAAACAGGCAGTATGCTCTTTGACATTAGTCTTAGCAATATTTTTTAGATATGTCTCCTCAGGCAAGGGAAATAAAAGCAAAAATAGACAAATGGGACTACATCAAATAAAAGCTTTTGCACAATGAAGGAAACTATCAACAAAACGAAAAGACAGCCTACTGAAAGGGAGAAGATATTTGCAAATGATATATCCAATAAAGGGTTAATATCCAAAATATACAAAGAGCTCATACAACTCAACATCAAAAAAACAAACAATCTGATTAAAAAGTGGGCAAAGGACCTGAATAGACATTTTCTTAAAAAGAGACATACAGATGGCCAACAGACACATGAAAATATGCATAATGTCACCAAATCATCAGGGAAAAGCAAATCAAAACGACAACGAGATACCACCTCACACTTGTCAGAATGGCTATTCTCAAAAAGACAACAAATAAGTGCTGGCAAGAATGTAGAGAAAAGGGAATCCTCGTGCACTGTTGGTAGGAGTGTAAATTGGTACAGCCACTATGTAAAACATTATGGTAGTTTCTCAAAAAATTAAAAATAAAACTACCATAGGAGCTAGCAATTCCACTTTTGGTTACAGTTGACCCTTGAACCACATGGGTTTGAACTGCATATGTCCACTTATATGCAGGTTTTATATGTATTTAATACTACATTACTAAAAGATCTGTGGTTGGCTGAGTTCACAGATGCTAAACCACAGATACAGAAGGCCAAATGTAAAGTTATATACAGATTTTCAATTGCCTGGGGATTATCACATGTAACCCCTCAGCTGTTCAAGGGTCAACTTCATTTTTCCAAAGTAAATTAAAATACTAATTTGAAAAGATATATGTACCCCTATATTTATTGCATCATTATTTACAATAACCAAGATATGGAAGCAATCTAAGTGTTCATTGACAGATGAATGGATGAGGAAGATGCAATTATGTATTTTTTAAAACATTTCTTATTGATTTATAATCATTTTACAATGTTGTGTCAAATTCCAGTGTAGAGCACAATTTTTCAGTTATACATGAACATATATATATTCATTGTCACAATTTTTTCTCTGTGAGTTACCATAAGATCTTGTATATATTTCCCTGTGCTATACAGTATAATCTTGTTTATGAAATTATGTATTTTATATATAATATATATACATACATATATAACATATATACATATATGTACATATATATAATGGACTGTTACTGAGCCATAAGAAAGAATGAAATCTTGCCGTTTGCAACAACATGGATGGACTCTGAGGGTATTACGCAAAGTGAAATAAGTCAGAGAAAGACAAATACCATATGATTTAACTTATATGTGAAATCTAAAAAAACAAAACAAGTGAATAAACATAACAAAACAGAGTCATAGATACAGAGAAGAGACTGGTGACGGAGAGAGGAGCTGGGTGAGGGGGATGAGTGAAATATGTGAGGAAGATTAAAAGGTACAAACTTTCAGTTATAAAATCAGTCACAGGGATATAATGTGCAGCATGGCAAATACAGTCAATAATGTTTTAATAACTCTGTATGGTGACAGATGGTAACTTATGGTGATCATTTTGTAATGTATAAAAATATCAAATCACTATGCTGTACACTTGAAACTAATATAATATTGTAAGTCAATTATACTTAAAAAAAGAAAAGAAGTTGAACTCAGAAACAGAAAGTAGGAAGGAGGTAGGGGTTGGGGGAAACGGAGAGATGCTGGTCAAAAGGTACAAGCCTTCAGTCATAAAATTAATAATGTACAGCATAGTGACTATAGTTAATAATAATGTGTTGCATACTTGAAATTTGCTGAGAGAGTAGCTCTTAAGCATTCTTACCACGCACACACGCACGCACACACACACAAAATGGTCACTATGTGAGGTGATGAATGTGTTTATTAACCTTATAGTGGTAATTGTTTCACAAAGTATACATATATCATTCATCACATTGTACACTTCAAATATACATGATTGGATTTGTCAGTATGCTTCAATAAAGCTTGAAAAAAATAATGCTTTTCCCTCCAAAATTGACTGGGCTTTCACAGCTGAGCTTTGGGACATTCCAGTGGTCAAAAGCACAACCTTTGGAATCCGAAAGGCCTGAGCTCAAATTCCAGCTCCACTAGTTACTTGCTGTGAGAGCTTGACAGTTTACTTAATCTCTCTGAATCCTAATCCTTTTGTTTTAATATGGAGGCAAAAAGTGTCCACCTCATAGGTTATTGCTATGTATAAATGAGAATCTGTATTACACAGCAAACCTGGCACATGGTAAACACTATTAATAATGTAGGCTATCATTATTATCTTTAGAGAGGGTCTCACAACATGCAATAACCATTCGTCCTTCCTTTTCAGGATCTCCTGCAAATGATAATTCTTTAGCCTGTTGCCAGTTACTTGATGGTAGAAACTTTGTGGATATATCCTCTATAAGACCCAGAACCAGGCTGAGCTAATAATGGTTATAATAAGAGTAAGAATAACAACAATAGCAATACAGCTCCTAACAAGAGTCTATCCTTGTCCTGGTCTTACCTCAGCAGGGAGCCCTTCAAATTGAGGACGCTTGCAGTGGAATTTGGGATCATCCCACTTCTCGAAAACCTCTGCACACTTGTGAGGATGACTCTCACCCATGCTCTCTTCTGTTTGACCTCGGACAATTCCACTGAGACAGGCAAAAAGGACAGTATGTGGCAAAGAATTATGCAACGTTAGGGGCTGGGGCATGAAACGGTGGGGGAGGGTTGAGGACCTTACCCAATGCCATGAATCGCTAAGCCAATGAAGTAGATGACAAAAAGATGGTGTGTATACCAAAAGACCTCAAAATAACTTCTCCGGATAAATTCCATAGCTGAAGTCACCATGAGAATCAGAGCTATTGTGATGATCACTCCAGTGAGACCAGCAATGCTGGTGAATGTCACATACTCCACTGTCTATTGAAGGGAGAAATTTAAGCCTGACACAACGTCCACAAAGGACACCATGCTCATGACCAGGTCCCAGGTGCTTTGCCATTGAGTCAACTCACCATGTTTGGGGACTGGATGGGATTTAGCCAAGAATCCTCCTTTTTCTCTTGATGAGATCGGTTGGAGAGAATGGAAGCAAGGGATCCATCTGTGGCCCGTCGGCCTCTGCTATATCGTTCAAAGTTAAACAGGTGTGCGATGATGTGAATAGCTAAACGGAAAGATGGAAAGGAATGTGAGAGGTGTCTCTGGAACATCATGGCAGGCATGCCCCATTACAAAAGGAGGATCTAGTCCACAGAACATGCCCAATAATGATTGCAGAGAGAATCAAGATCTTTTTCATACTCTCTCTGTTCCCAAAGGAATAGAATATACCTGGCAAATACTAACAAGTGTTCGATTCTGCTTTTTTTTTTAATGGAGATACTGGGGCTTGAACACAGGACCTCATGCATGCTAAGCATGTGCTCTACCACTGAACTATTTCCCTCCCTCCTCAATTATGTTTTAAATGTTGATATGAACGGATGAATGAAACTACATTCTGAATGCTCGGGGAGCCCGCAGTTTGCCTCAGTTTGCCTCAGTCACCTGTGTGTAGGCAGATCATATACGCCACCAGCTTGTGGAAGGTGAGGTTGTGATCCAGTTGCTTTCTCAGGGTGCTCCTACAAAACTACAAATATAAAATGATCAAGGTCAGGTGTCTCTCGGCAACTTAATGAAATGTACTAACCCAAAGCCAACATGTCTTACATAGAGCGTGCCAATACCCATCCCCTTGGATACCAAAGGAGACCTCTGGCTTCCATTCTTAGGGGTTTGGTGCTGAGCTGTCCTACTGAGGAATTCAGAGTCTCTTGTCTTTAATCTGAAAGTTGACCTACAAGTTGTTGGGACTCACTGAGCAGGTGCCCCTCAAGAAGGACAGCAGATTTCGACACACGGGAAGCAGGATCAGCATGCTGTTAAAATTCAGGCAGCGAGCAGAGGCTCTGGCCCAGGCCAACGCTGACTAGAACAGAGAGAAGAGACCGTCAGCTGCTTTATCTTCTCATCCAGCAGGTGAGTTCAGACCCAGTCTGACACCTGAACAATCAGTCCCAGCTCTCTGTTTACAAACGACAGAAAATTTGCTGAACTTAATATTGAATTGAAAAATTCTCATGACAGTGGTTTGGAAATGTCTGACTATGCATTTATCAATATGAAAGAGAATAAGATTTAATGATTTCATGTTAACAAATAAATTCTATGAAAGCAATACTTTGCAATGAGTATTGTGCTGAATACACTCAATGATGGTTTTAGTTTGTCATTTGTAAAACAATCTTGAAGATCATATATATCTTACTTGCATTTTAAAGAAAGTTTATATTTCGAAGTATAATTACAGACTGTGACTATTTTTCTCTTTTCTATATCTTCTAATGTTGTCTTTATAAGCATATAATAATCATGTCATAAAAACAATAAAAAAGTAGCTACCTATATTTAAGATCTCTTTAATAACTGAATAAAGCAATCAAAGCTAATGAACCCCTCAGAACAAAAATTTTAAACTTAGGAAGAGATTTGAAAAGGGAAAATGTCTAAGAACAGAATTTCAAACTGATTTCCTTGGCTGGCCAGGCAGCATACATCAAGATCAATCTGATCTAGGAGTAGAAGCTGCTAGAAAAGGAGACAAAGATTCAGTGCTTCAAAGAAGTACGTAGCAAAACAGAAACAGACTCACAGACTTAGAGAACAAACTTATGGTTACCAGGGGGTCAAGCAGGTAGGAAGGGATAAATTGGGAGTTTGAAAATTGCACCTCTTGGGGAGTGATGGAAATGTTAGCTATCTTGATTGTGGTGGCGGTTTCACTGGTGTATATAACTGTCAAAATTCATCAAACTGTACATCTAAAGTATGCATAGTTTCTTGTATAGGAATCATACTACAATAAAGGTGTTTTAAAAAAAGAAGTATGTAGCCCAGTAACAGGCTTGATTAGGTATAGGCTGGACAGAGTACGTTCAACTCCATGGTAGCTAATTCTGACTTCTCTCCTCCATTGTACAACTGGTCTCCACTTCAGCTCCATGTACTTGGGACTGCAGACAATGGAGTGCGACAATTTCACGGCAGCAGGGGTGCCAGGCAATTTTTGTTGCATTTCAGCTGACTGGCCAGCCTCACATGCATGCCTTTCACGACTTGATAAAATGAAGAATATAAGTTAGGCTTAACCATTTTTCAGCCTTTTTCTAACAACCTTTTCAGCACAAAAAAACTATTTTTTCACCCAACCTAAACCCTAAGGCAATGTGACATCGGTTTGATAAGGCAGGACAAGATCTGCCTAGCATCCATCATGGCTGATGATGGCGGGCGGTACAGTGAACAGAGCTACCCTACTGTTTTCCATTTCTGATTCTTCCACATGACCTGTGTTTTCTCCCTCTGCTGAGTCACACTCCGGCTGTTTTTGGTAGAGACAGCCTGTTCTATGCCTGAGTCAATTTTCTCTGCTTATCTCTGAGGTCCTGCATTTCCACATTGGTTCCCACAGCTTGCTTATTTGAGTCACAGAGGTTCTGTAAAGCTAAAATTGAGAAGTGAATTGAAAATATAGGCCTAGAACTTGACAGCTCCCTATTCTTGTGGAGACTATCTGGAAGGGACAAATTCTTTATAGAGCAAATCTTGTTTCCCTGTTGCAGCATATTGAAATATCTCAATTTATGTTCACTTTTCAACACCAACACAAACTGCTGTTGTAATTCAATTGCAGCTGTCATTAATACCTCATTGACTATGGATTTAAACTCCTTCCTCTGCTACTTACTTGCTCTGCTATATAGTGAATCAATTAACTCTGTGTTTTCCTAGATGAAGCACAAATATAAGAAATTCCCTACGGAATGATTAAATAAATTAGGGTGCTGTTATGGTCTTAAAAGGATGAGAGCTATATGCAGTGGTATAGGGGTGGTAAATGGTTAACAACCAGCTTTCGGTGGAGGGGGTTTCTTGATTTCCAGCATTTGCCAGTTTACATGATCTAAGTATTCCCACCACGGCAGATTTCAAGGTGCCAACTTGATGTTATTGAACACCCCTGAATGCAGGGTTGGGAAGTGATGCACACAACTGGCTTTTTGCAAGCTAGTATGAGCTGGTTCCAGCATATCAATTGTTATATACATACATGGAAAGACATCTGAGATGCGTTAAGTAAGTGTAGGAAGAAATTTCCAGCCAATATCTCCTATGTGATCTTTTGGTTAAAATAAAAAACTGTGTCCTATTGAATGTGTTTATCTAAACTCATAGAAGGGTACACCCCAAAGAGCAAATTTTACTGTATACAAGAAATAAAAGAGGAAGTATAAATAGTACCCACCTCAAAAACAAAAACAAAACCTCTATGTCTGATGCATTTGTGGGCATAAGTCAGTGTGTCTCTATAGACACACACGCCAAACTACTAACGGTGGTTATCTCCGGGGAACTGGGATGGGAGGGCAATTTTCACATTTTACCCTTATACTTCAATATCATTTGATCTCTTAGAAAGCAGCATTATTTATCATTAATTTTTTTTATAGAGAGGATTTTAAAAAACAAAATGTCCACAGGATATCAGCATGATTCATTTTTCTGCTGCTGACTTTTTGGTCATAAGGCAATTCAGCTCTTAATAACTAGTCACATTTATTGCATCATTCCCTTAATAAAAAGCTATTTTTAAAACAAATTAACACTTCCTTTGGAGTTAAAAGTTTCCAAAGAAGGATTAAGGATCAACATTTAAAATGGAAAACAGCAGGGTGAAATAAGTCATGAACAGAACGTTCAAATTAGTTGTGATCTCAACATAGATCCTTTGATTATGGAGAGAAAGGAAGTGTTTTGAAAAAGGACAAGCTGTCTTTAAACATGTACATTGGGTGGGACGTTGTGGAAAGGTAACAAAAAAAGGCACCGTCAAGATGAAAGTGATTTCTCCAAATCCCTTACCTTTTACTGAATAACTGATTAGCATTAACAGTCAAATTTGTTTTACTAATCAGGCAGTGGCCAGATTGATGAGACCAGGAGAGAACCATTCTCACCTCCAGGCTTCTCCCTGTTCACCTCCATATCAACGTGCTCTACCTACCCCCAACCCTTCCTCTTCTATCCTTCATCTGCTACTTCTCCAGCCTTCTCCATCCTGTTACTTTGACCGTATCCCCCCTTTTTTGTAAACTTTGAATTCTGCAATGCCATCCACTCCACAGACTACCCGCCCCAGGAAGTACCCCACTTGTTTGATAAGTATTTTTCTGTGAGATCAGTCCACAGCGATGGTTTTCAAGCTATTTATTTGCTTTCAACCAAACTCATTCTTAAAATTATAAGCAGGAGTCCATAAGACAGATAAAGGCTGCTTTGGTTAAAGTGTGGACTGGGGCAGGACTACTGTCCAGTTAGCCTTCCCCTCACACCCTCCCTGTAGGGGCACTTGAGTTTCTGTGGAAACCAGTTTGCAGATTGCTTAATATTTTCTTTACTGTGTGTTTTCATTATTAGGTCCAGGGAGTATGCCCTGGATAAGGCTGTCACATTTAGTGAAAAAAAATACAGGATGCCCAGCTAAATTTGAACTTCAGATTTTAAAAATTGAATAATCGTTTCTATTGAAGTATAGTTGATTTACAATGTTGTGTTAGTTTCTGGTGTACAGCACAGTGATTCAGTTTTATATATATATACATATATATATATGTTCTTTTTCATATTCTTTTTCATTATAGGTTATTATAAGACATTGAATATAGTTCCCTGCGTTATACATTAGAACCTCGTTGTTTATTTATTTTATATATATTAGTTTGTATCTGCTAATCCCAAACTCCTAATTTATCCCTCCCTCCCTCCCTCTCTCTTTCCCCTTTGGCAATCATAAGCTTGTTTTCTATATCTGTGAGTCTGTTTCTATTTTATAAATAAGTTCATTTGTCTCATTTTTTTTAAGATTCCACATATAAGTGATATCATTTGATATTTGTCTTTGTCTGTCCGACTTACTTTATTTAGTATGATTATCTCTAGGTCCATCTATGTGGTTGCAAATGGCATCATTTCATTCTTTTTTATGGCCGAGTAGTATTCCATTGTGTGTGTGTGTGTGTGTGTGTGTGTGTGTGTGTGTGTGTGTGTGTATACACCACATCTTTACTCATTCATCTGTCTATGGACATTTAGCTTGCTTCCATGTCTTGGCTATTGTAAATAGTGCTGCTATGAACACTTGGGTGCATTTATCTTTTCGAATTAGAGTTCCCTCCAGATATATGCCCAGGAGTGGGATTGCTGGATCATATGGTAATTCTAATTTTAGTTTTTTGAGGAATCTCCATACTGTTTTCCATAGTGGCTGCACCAAATTACATTCCCCTCAACAGTGTAGGAGGATTCCCTTTTCTCCACACCCTCTCCAGCATTTATTGTTTGTGGATTTTTGAATGATGGCCATTCTGACAGGTGTGAGCTGATACCTCATTGCAGTTTTGATTTGCACTTCTCTGATAATTAGCAATACTCAGCATCAAAAATGAATAATTTTTAAATATACCACTGTCTCATGCAATATTTGAAATGAGTTATACCAAAAGAAGAAAGCTAACTCTAGAGGAAACCAGGACACTGGGTCTCAAAGGATCCAGGGTCAGAGGTAAGAAAAGAACGGAGATTTCCCACATCACAACTGTGACACTCACCCCCAGGATTTGTCTTGTGTAGTAGTACTTGTCGGCCTTCTCAAATGACAGGAAGGCATACACAAACAGGAAAACATTCAGCCCCAACCAAGCAGCCTAGAATAAGAAATTAAGCAAGGAATAAGTGACATTTGGGTATGGGAGAAAGTAGATAAGGGGTAGGAAATAGTGTCACCATCTTGTCTATTTTGTGTTGATCTGCTTTCATTTCAAACGAGTACAATCCTTCTAGTATCTAACTTACTTTCAGAGTGAGTTAGGAGTTCAAGACATGCATTAGAAGCTAATAACCAAGGTCAGTAAGTCAAGACCCAGAGGTCAACTCTAGCTCACCACCTGTTTTGTACAGCCTACAAGCTAAGAGTTGTTTTTACATTTTGTTGCTTTCACATTTTTAAATGGTTGGAAAAAATTGGAAGAAGAATGTATTTCACAACATGTGAAAATTATATGAAATTCAAATTTCAGGACTTATAAAGTGGTTTTGGAACTTAGCCACGTCTACTTATTTCTGTACGGTTTATAACTGCTTTTTGTGATTCAATGGAAGCGTTGAGTAGTTGTGACAGAGACCATACGTCCTGCAAAGCCTAAAATGTGTACTACCTAGCCCTTTACGGAAAGCATTTGCCGGCTTCTGGACTAGAGCATTCAAACTGTTGCACGTAAAAGATGGCAATAAGTGAATAAATGGATTTCTAAAGAAACAAAGAATAAATTTAACACCTACAACAATACCCATCTGAAAGGACTAAACCATTCCAGATGGGCCTGCCTCTTTAATTATATCCTGACACACATTTTTCTATTTTTAGATTGTGAGTCTTTTTTCAAATGAACCTATCCTTGCTTTGGACTCATTTGAGCTCTTAAGACTGCTTTTGCCTATCCCAAGATCTGTCTCTGCATTGCCAAAGGGGGAAATTTGGAACCTACCGCCCATTGCCTTGGAGAATAGCCAACTGGGCTCTAGCCTAAGCTTGGAGGTGCTAGTCTGTAATTGAGCAGGACTCGAGGGCACTGGGATGCCACTAATAATGTATTCTTGACCCCAGGATGGTCCACAGGTAGAGGGTCTTTAGCCTAGGACATGGCCCATTCAGATTCCCTAGGTCTGGACCACTCACACACCTCTGGCAGCATAACATAGTGATTTAAAGTATGATACTGGAGGCAACCTGCTTGGGCTCAGATTCTAGTTGTATCACTTTCTGGCTCTATCATCTTAGGTAGACACATGATTTAACTTTCCTGAGCCTCAGTTTTTTCACCTATAAAATGAGGATAGTAACAATATCTACCTCACAGCAATACTGTGAAGCTTTCATGAAATAATGCATGTAAAATGATTCATACAATGCTTGGTACATAGTAGGAGCTCAATAAATGCTGGCTACAGGGATGTGTCATTCCCAGACTGGCTTTACCAATCAATTTCTTCCTGCATCCTTTGCTCATATACCCTTTCCAGAGCTGTGTGTCTTCCAGAGATCCTTTGACCCTATTGGTAAAAGAGAGGTGAAAGCCACATATACCTCAAGAGTTCAGAAGACAAAGGAGAGAAGCCTACTTAGAGGAGCAGAAATATTTCAGGATCTGAGAGGGACACAGAGGCAAAGAGTCCTGTGTCAGCCCATTATCAATTGTAAGCAAGGTGAATGATGAAATACAGTGACATCTGAGAGTAAGGAATTCCATTTCCCACTATAATTTCCTCCACTATGAATGGGAAAGAGAATGGAATAGAAGACCTGGCAGGAAGGAGGAGTAAAAATATTTTTAAGTAATTTATTTCTCCTTAAAAAATAGTTCAAAAGAGTATATGTCGGGGGGGGAGGGTATAGCTCAGTGGTAGAGTGTGTGCTTAGCATACATGAGGTCCTGGATTCAACCCCAGTACCACCATCAATCAATCAATAAATGAATCTAATTATCTCCCCCTTAGAAAAAAGAAAGAAAGAAATAAAAAGGACTAAATGTCAGAGACAATAAGAAGCCTGAGCCTGCTGGCAGGATTGGTGGGAGGTGGAAATTCAAAACTTGATGGTTAAATGTGAGTCACCACCAAGGGTGATGAATTCTCCTAGCAAAAACTAAAAGAGGGATAAAAAAAGACAAAAGTTTATAGCTAGAAAAACACATATTTATATCTAATCTAGTTTTCATGGATCTTCACACACATACACACACAGGTGACCTGGAGTCTAGAGAGGATAAAGAATTTGTCAAGGTCCCTCAGTTAAGAGCAGAACTGAAACTAGAGTTCAGTTAGAGAGTGTGTTAGGAGAAGGGGATTGTGCATGTGTGGTGTGGTGAAGGATTTCTGGCCTGAACACTGGGGAGCTGGATAAAGATGGACATTGCATAATAATAAAAGATATGATCTACCAAGAAGACATAGTAATCCTAAATCTGTACACCAAAGAACGGAGCTTCAAAATGTGGAGCAAAAACAGATAGAATTGAAAAGAAAAATAGACCAATCTGCAATATAGTTGAGGACTTTAACAACCCCTTTCTCAATAGAACTACTAGATAGAAAATCAATGTCATTATAGAAGAAACACACCACTGTGGTAGGCAGAATAATAGTTTTTCAATTCATTGTGGGATATCTGGGTCTTATTTCCCCATGTAAAATCAGGAAATTCGTTTATATGTGAACTATACAAAGCTGTAGCCACTACCCACACATATGGCTACTAAGCACACAAAATGTGGCTAGTTTTAACTGAGATGTGCTGTAAGTATAAAATACAGATTGGATTTCAAAGACTCAGTAAAAATAAAAGAACATAAATTATCTCATAAATATTTTCAGTATTGACTACATGTTGAAAGGATAACATTTTCGATATATTGGGTTAAACAAAATATATTACTGGACATTAATTTCACCTATTTCTTTCTACTCTTTTCAATGCAGGTATTAGACAATTAAAAAAATTTTTTTCACCAGACTAAATAATATCAACTCATGGGCAATCTTGTTCAATCTATTAGCCCCCTACTGCCCTCATCATTTCTTAGGAGCAAATCCCAGACTTCAAATGACTTCATCTATAAACATTTCAATGTGTATTTCTAAAAGATACAGACTCTTTAAAAAACATAGTCACAAAACTATTGTTACATCTTAAAAAAATGAAAAATTTCTTAATATCAAAGATTCAGTGTTCAAATATCTTTGATTTTCTCACAAAGTTTGTTTTTTACCGTATTTGAATCAGGATCCAAATAATGTTTATACACTGCAATTGCTTGCTATGTCCAAATAATGTTGATTCTCTAGAATCTTGTAAATGTGACCAGTTTCTTCTAATCATTATAAATTCATGGATTTAAATAAAGTTCATGGTTTAAAAGAATTTTTATTGAAGTACAGTCAATTACAATGTGTACAATGTGTCAGTTTCTGGTGTATAGCACAATGTCCCAGTCACGCATATACATACATATATTTGTTGACAACTTTTAAATTACGTATGTGACGCATGTTATAGTTCTAGTCGACAGCAGTGGGCCATAATCTCTAAGATGCCAGCGCTGGCCTTAATCTCTAAGATCACTTCTGTCTCGAATGTTTAATTATTTTATGGTTTCTTTTTTTTATTGAAGTATAGTCACTTTACAAAGTTGTGTCAATTTCTGGAGATTTTATGGTTTCTTAATGTGAGCAATATAGGAAGGATGGAGAGAAATGAATGTTCCATGGCAACAGTTATAAGTGAAATTGAAGAGAAAAACAGAAGACAAAGAACAAAAACATTGAAATTCCAAATACTTGTGGTTTATAATATTTGTCTCTTTACCAATTTCTGGAGTTGGATATTTTTCCTTTTGTAAATTATTGAAACATACACAGAAAAGTAGAATATATATATATATATATATATATATATATATATATATATATATATATATATACACATATATAAATTCTAGAGTTGAACTTTTCAACTTATAACTGGCCTTGATGAGCCCAATATTGGCATGGAATCTTTCCCCTTGAAGTAACTTTACAAATATTAACAAACATAATGTCTCCTTACTCTGTTAAGAGTAATTAATAGAAAGTAGAACATCACTTACCAGAAACAAAACTGAAAACCAATGGTTAATCACCCAGTTTCCCATTGTCAAGAGTAGTTTGGAGCCTCTATAGGCAGCAAGGAAGACTTATCAACCTGGATTCTGGAGAGGTTCTTCAAGGTTAGCACGTCTGTCCAGCTGGGGATCTGTGAATCCTTGAGATGTGAAAGGTACACACCTATCCACAAAGCTCCCAGGAATGAATAAGCGCATTCTGCCTTCCTTCTCTGGACGGAACTGTTATCAGCTTCAGTAGACCAGCCCTACCTATGAGAACCACAGGGGTTTTCCCTGGTGGGGTTTTATCCCTTCAGGAAATAGCAGTCTTCCTGGGTGAGAATATTCTTTGTCATCAACTTATCAACATGACTTAATTGATAATACATTTGCTAAGATTTCTCACAAGAAAGATTTTAGGCTAAGACTATAAACAGATGATCTCAGGAAAAGCAAGACAGGAAGCAAGCATGTTAAAGAAGCTGCTTTCCAGGTGGGCTTTCTGAAAAGCTGCCGCATCTGCCTGCGGCAATTTGGACCTCAGCCTGGCTAGTTTAGAAACTTCAGTTTACCAATTCTTCTGGATGATGATCTGGCTCTGGGGAGCACAAGTAAAAAGAATGGCCAAACAGAGTTAAGAGAAAATTTATCAGGTATAAATGTACACCTTGTTTCAAAAAAAAAAAAACAGAGGCAAAATACTCAAAACAAGGGAGGTAATTGTCTTCTAGTATGAAGGATCAGCTAAAGTTGTATGTTCAATTCTGGGCACTGATATTTTTGCTTTCCTAAATTGGTGAAATATACACAGAAGAATGTATAAAACATATACATGTAATTTTAAAAATAATTTTAAGGAATGAATATCCATGGACTCAGTACCCAGCTCTAAAAAATTGAATATTTACTTCCATTGTCTTAAAGTCCTCTGTGTGTCCCTCCATGGACACATCTCCCTTCTTCCCCAGTTCCTCCTCCATCAGATGTAACTACTATCCTGA